AGTTCTACATGACATTTTAACATAGCAAGAAAAACAAAAAGTGTACCTGCATGTAATCAATGTAAGATAAAGAACAAAATAAGTTCGATAATAAGTATGTCAGTCTCAGACAGATATGCTGAGAAGATATACTATTAGTCAAAGTATACCAATGATATATGATAAAAAAAGAAAATAATAAACAAATTTTATTGACTAGTATTAAAACCAAAACGTGCTAGTGTACATAAAATTTTTTTATACTAGTCAATAAAAAATTGTTTATTTTCTTTTTTTTTTTTATCATATATCAGTGGTATACTTTGCCTAATAGTATATCTTCTCAGCATATCTGTCTGAGACTGACATACTTATTATCGAATTTATTTTGTTCTTTATCTTACATTGATTACATGCAGGTACACTTTTTGTTTTTCTTGCTATGTTAGATTTGGGGTTACCCCCCGTTCCTTAAAAGTGTACCTTTGATCTGGCTCTCTCTCTACTTTCTTTTGCTTGACATTTTAACTGTCAATGTCATAATACTGTTTGCTTTTACTGAAATAAAATACACATTTGTATTCAGCAAAGTCTCACGTGTAACAGTACCCCCTATGTACAGGTTTTATGGCGTTTTGGGAAGTTACAGGGTCAAATATAGCATGTTACATTTGAAATTGAAATTCGCCAGATTGGTTACGTTGCCTTTGGGATTTTATAGTAGCCAGGAATGAAATTTACACCCCTAATGGCATACCATTTGCAATAGTAGACAACCCAAGGTATTGCAAATGGGGTATGTCTAGTCTTTTTTAGTAGCCATTTGGTCACAAACACTGGCCAAAGTTAGCGTTAGTATTTGTGTGAAAAATGCAAAAAAACACCAATTTTGGCCAGTGTTTGTGACTAAGTGGCTACTAAAAAAGACTGGACATACCCTGTTTGCAATACCTTGGGTTGTCTACTATTGCAAATGGTATGCCATCATAGGGGTAATTTTCATTCTTGGGCTACCATAGGGTCACAAAGGCAACGTAAGCATTCTGGCGAATTTTTATGTGAAAAAAATGAAAACACAAGCCTTATATTTGACGCTGTAACTTTTGAAAACACCATAAAACCTGTACATGAGGGGTACTGTTGTACTCGGGAGACTTCGCTGAACACAAATATTTGTGTTTCAAAACAGTAAAAAGTATTGCAGCAATAATATCGTCTGTGTAAGTGCTGTTTGTGCGTGAAAAATGCAAAAAACTTCACTTTTACTGGCAATATCATCGTTGTAATACATTTTACGGTTTTGAAACACTAATATTTGTGTTCAGCGAAGTCTCCCGAGTAAAACAGTACCCCCCATTTACAGGTTTTATGGTGTCTTGGAAAGTTATAGGGTTAAATATAGTGCTAGCAAATTAAATTCCCTATACTTTCAGCATGGGTTGTCAGGCAGGTCCCGCTAATTGTAATTAATTAGGATACCTAATTATGTAAAAATATTACATAAATATATGTGTAGAATTAATATATGTATATATATATACATATGTGTATATATACATATATATATATATAATTTTTTTAAATATTTTTATTTATATATAGGTGTATATATTTAGTGATATATATGTATATATTTATGTATATAGATATATATATATATATTATTTCGTTCTACGTGTATTTTGATATAAATATATATATATATATATTAATATCACAAAACAGTTAGAACGAAATAACAAACATCTATATATTTTTTTATTATTTATTTTTAATTATTTTTTTAATTTTATTTTTTTTACGTATTTACATTTTTTTATATTATATATAAATATATGTATATAACAATAATTATATATATATATATATATATTTAATCAGTATTAGTCTACGTGTAATTTGATAGTAATATATATATAAATAATTATATATATTAATATTTAAATACACTTCGTGTATGTGTAAATGTGTGTGTGTGTGTGTATGTGTATATATATACTTAGATCATATATATATATAATATATATGATCTAAGTATATTTTATATTTAACTGTAATTTTTTTTTTTTAACTAATATTTTATTTTTATTACAGGAGAGGGGGCAGAGACAGTGTCAGCCAGTGATTTTACATCACTGGCTGACACACAGGATCAGTGATCACAGTGACTGCCTGTCACTGTGATCACCTCCTGCAGATTGGGTAATTGACCACAGGGGGGAGTGCCTGGGTGGTACAAGCACTCCCCCCTACCAATCTGCAGGGGGACCATAGCGCCTGTTCCATGTGTCAGCCATTAGGCTGACACATGTAACACTGATCGCAGTGACAGGCTGTCACTGCGATCAGAGCGCTCTGAGATCGCAGTGACAGGCTGTCACTGCGATCTCAGACTTAGCAGATCGCGGTCACTGACCCCAGGGGGACTGCCTGGGGGGCCAGGTAAGTCCCCCGACCGCGATCTGCATAGCAGAAAGCTGCCGGCCACGTGTGTCAGCCGATTTGAAATCGGCTGACACAAGTTAAATACTGATCGCAGTTACAGCCTGTCACTGCGATCAGATACTGCAGATCGCGGTCACCGGCCACAGGGGGGGTTGTCTGGGGGGCCAGGCATCCCCCCCGACCGCGATCTGCAGCGGGCGATTAGCGCCGGCCACGTGGGCGGCCATTATAGCGAGGGCGTACTATTACGCCCGCCGGCGTTTAGAGCCGGCTCCTGCAGGGCGTAATAGTACGCCCTCCGGATTTAAGGGGTTAATATCAACAGAGAAAAGGCAGTGCTTACCTTGTTGCCTAGTAACACCTCTAGTGGCAGTCACACTGAAGGCCACTAGATGTGCTTCCTAGTCTAGTGTGCAGCACCTACATTCAGCGTTTCCACGCTCTGCATGGAGGAGCTGAATGTTCCCAATAGAGATGCATCGATTTAATGAATCTGTATGAGATGAGAATTGGTGCAAAGCTGCACATGTGCAATAGCCTCCCAATGCTTTCATGTGTGAAAGCATTGTATTAGCGAAGATCATCAATATTGATGATCTCAGCAATAGAGGCTGGGCCAGCTGCGACGAAACCGGCGCAGTGTGGGGAAAAAAGTGAGTAAAAATACCTTTCCCAGGCAATTGGAGGCAGTCAGGTCACCTAGTTAGTTTAACACTATAGTATCAGAAATACATGTTTGTATTCCTGACACAAAAGTGTTCCTTTAAATTTACACATAAACAGATCACACACACATTCTCTCACACACTTGCAAATTATTATTATTATTATTTTTCCCTGGGGTCCAGTGGGGCTGCTGTCATTTTCCTGCTCTGCTTACATGCACGCTGTTTAGCGGGCCAGAGTAAAGTCATATTCCATCATACCAGACAGCATGAGGGAGCAGAGCAAAAAGAGCAGGAAGATGACAGCTCCCTTGCTGCCGCCTCTATTCTCACTTAACCAGCTGCCTCCATTGCTCACAGCAGGGAAGTGGGTAAAAGGGATGTCAAACACACACAGGCGCCAGGACAAAATTCCAGGTCGACATGGCGACTAGGAATTTTGTCCTGGCTTCTGGATGTTTGTTCTAGAATGGCTTACCCCAAAGGTTGTTCTCCAGATCTCCCTTTCCCCAGCAGCTTCTTCGATCAAGTTTCAGGAAGCACAGAGTGCAGCCTGACAAGTGCGCCGCTGATTTGCTAGAGCGGTCAGAAAACTCTCTAAACCAAATCGGTAGATCCTGACCGACTTATTGCTGCTTCACTGAAGTTGCTATGATGGCAATACAGTTTATTTAATTCATATGATTCTGGACACATTTCACACTTCATGTGACAGGACATAAAAAGTGATGCTTGCAGCAGGGCCAAATAAGGAACTGCCTAGCCTGGGTTACCTCTAGGAGGACATATTATATAATGCAATATAAATCACCTTTCAGGCAGATAAGATGTGTGCCCGGTAAATAAAGTGGATCTGGCATTTACACTGTCACGTGCACAGTGTAAATCATACTATTTGCAGGAAGACACGTCATTTTATATAGTGTGCAATTTAAATAAATCACAGCACAGCAACTACAAATGGCACAGACAGGTGTGTGTGGAAGGAATATGTTCATAATTAAGCTTTAACAGCGCCTCTCACCGCCCAGAATGAATGAGCCCACGCAGGAGGTGAACCCGGACAGGAATGAGTTGAAGGGGAATGTCCCCACCAGCAGGCAGTACAGGAACTGCATTGCCCCGGTGAGCAGGATGTACAGCAGGTAGGCGTCCAGCAGCTTGAGCCGCTGAGGAGTGGAGCTGACATACTCCTCCAAGAAGCGGGACACGACGGACAGCACAGACACCGACATGACTCGAGGCACCGGGGGCCTGCTGTACGGAGCGGAAGTGACGGCTCGGAAGTGCTCCCTGGATCAGACGTGGCGTTCAGGAACTGGGGGTGACGTCACTGTAACAAGGCGGAAGCCGCTAGAACACCGGGAGTGAACTGAGCTTGCTGTCAATCATCGGACGAACGGAGTGTGACAGCACAGTTACAGACAGCATAGAATAATGCATGAGAGTAAATGGCATTTCTCATTCAGCCATGGCTGCTTATGGAAATAAAACTACAGTGCGTTTATATAGGAAGTAACGATAAATAGCGAGATCCTTTATACTCTGCAAGCATTGGCCTTCCTGTGGCGCTGATGATGTCAGCCAAGCAGGCAGATCAGGGGCAGAGCCAGCAGTGACATCACACGTGACATCACATTAACAAAATAAAGAGTTTCTGGATCTCGCACATCTGGATCATTCCTTTCCCTTCAGCTGCTGTGCTTTAGATGAGGGGTTTTTATACTGCTGCAAGTTATGGATGATGTAAAATGGGACTGGTGGGTTTGCATTTGTGCATTTGTAGTCAGCTCAATGAGACTGTTATGCTAATTGTTCAGGTACAGAGTCAAAGAGCTACTTCCATCTAGTTCAGCATTATTTATTAGATACCCAAATCCATGGGAGCTTTCCAAGTTCATCCTAGTGCTGCAGAGGTAAGTATGCTGTTTATCTGCACTTATCAATGCAATAAGGAGCCCTTCAGAGGCATATGATATGTCACTTCTGTGACTGCTCTGCTTTAAAAGGATGACCAATATTAAAAAAAAGTATCTATATATAATGGGACACTGTTCATCTGCAGTGCTTCTCTACAAGGGGAAACTAATTGTCACATTGAATAACAGCTGGAAGTTGTTACTAAGAGGATTTATAAAGTGCAGATTTCTCTTGAAATTGTTGAATTAATAGCAAACCTGCAGGGATAGGCAATTACAACCTATAGGGTTATAATTTTTGTTTGTGTGTTTAAAGAGGAACTTTCACTAGTGATATTTTTACACAATCTCACAGCTAACTGAAAGTGAACTTAGGCTATGCTAAATTTCAGTGTTAATTTTTTAAAATTTACATGCCTTCCCAGGGATGCCATGTACTGTACATTAAAGGAACACTATAGAGTCAGGAATGTATTTTAAAAGCACCGTTTAGGTTCCCGGTCCTCCTCTCCTTACTTTACAAAGATGATTTTACTCACTGTTTTTCCAGTGGTGTGGCTAGTCCTCACCATTTCCACCTCTGAGGCTGAAATCATCAAACCTGATGATTTCAGCCAATCCAGTGCTTTTGTTCTTCAGCGGCAAAATGCCACGTTGTGCCAATCAGCATCTCCTCATAGAGATGCATGGAATCAATGGGGAGCATTCAGCGTCTGTGATGCACTGACCCAGGAAGAATCTCTAGTGTCTGCCTGAGTGACTGCCACTAAAGGTGTTACTAGGGAATAATGTAAATACTGCATTTTCTCTGAAAAGGTTTTAACAACATAAACTATGTAGATAGCATGGTGCAAAAAAGGTGTTCTATCGCCATTTCTTTGGACACAGTGGCTTATAGCTGTACCAATTTGTAAACATTTTGCAGTTATAAGTCTTTCACTCAAACATGTCACAGGTGAAAACTTTAAAGGAAACTCCACTGCCACCCCCAAAAACTAATAATCACTTTTTAGAAGATATACCTCCAATCAAAAAACATGCATGCCTTTAATTATGCATTTTTTGTCATTAGGAATATATCCAGAGCTGATGCTGGGGTTGTGCAGACTGCTCAGGTGCTCTGTAGATAGGCGGAGTGTGCAGTTTTATGCTACGCCCCTTAGGTAGCTACTGCCCTCTCTGCTGCTCGGCGTCGGTCATGTGAGTGCAGGCCTAATCAGAGGGTATGGATCTACTTGAGGGGCTTATCTCTGCACACCTTGCCTATCTACAGAGCACATTGGCAGACCGCACCCCTCCAGGATCGGCTCTTGATATATCTAAAAACAGTTTGCAAAAGTTGTCGAATCCTTTGCAAGCAATACTCTTCTAACCTAGCCCAGACTTTATGTGGCTGTACAATCACAGATTTTCCAATGCAGCTTACAAGGCAGGTGCTCCGGGCAATTGCTGGCCCTTGGGGTTAACTCCACTGAGCTAACCAAAGGAAGCAACAGGATAAGTCGTGTGGTTGACAGTCAGAGGATGGTAACAAGGTTAAAAGTTTTCCAACTCAGATATAGTGACAGTTTCTACTAACTGTCCCACTTTTGTATTGTCATTGTTGCTAACTGTCCCACTTTTGTATTGTCATTCACATGTTTTGGCCTCCTGTCCCGGCAAAAGCAGGTGCTGGGACCTATCCCGTATACCTGGAAACTAAGAGAGCCGCTCAAATCAAAATAGTGGTAACTGTTTATGCACAAGTAAGTTAAACGAGAAAGTGAGGTACAAACTAACTTTGTGTGTTCTACATAATTAAATATCGCGGCAATAAATTATTTAAACAAATTTTTTAAACAAAAAAATATTCCAGAGAACCATCCATATTTCTTTTCAGATTAATTTAAACTTCTTCAGGGCTAGACTAAGAGTTTGTCAATTGGACTCTATCAGTAAACCGAGGAACTACATGGATTGAGAGGAGTTTAAGACCAGCTTCTTTCAGTTGATCCAGAGCCAAGACCAGCAAGATTTTGATGGTCCAAGACATCTGAATGCATCTTGACCATCCAGTCTCTGGGTTTCAAAATATCCCTCAAGCAGTGGTTTTCTTCCATTTTCAAGTAATTGTATTGGATTCACTGATTCATATTTATGTCTTTTTTTACAAACGAGGAAAATATAGCTGAGATATCCACCTTTTACTTGCAATAGTTAGTGTTGTCTGCTTTGAAAGCATGGATACAGGGCTTTGTAATTTGTTTATCCTGGTAATTATGTCCTGAAATGCAATCTCTCCCAAAATATTTGGTGTTGAAAATGTTTTTTTAGTGATAGCTGAACTTTATCCAATGAGGAAAAATCTCCCATAAACATGCTAACACTTGTTATACAAGGTCATTGGCTGCATTTCCTGGTGCTTCACAAGCCATTTGAATTAATTGGGGGTCTAGTTTCAAATCAACAGCCCATTTTCTCTCAGAGGCCAACGCTATATGGTACTTCCTAAAATGCAAAACACTCTTTGCTTCCATCCCATAGCATATGAATAAGTGCAGGTCTACCAGTTTTAAAGACTCTTAATAAGATCAAACATTTCAGCTAATAGTCAAATCATATCCAAATGCCTATCCTGGTAGCTCTCTAAAGAGGGGTCTATTCCCTTCTAAGTGTCCTTCCTAGATTTTTAAGCTATTGCACTATAGACATGTGAAATTCGTTTTGGTCCAAATTTAAATTCGGACAAATTTCGTCAATTCAGACATTCGGATGCTTCCAAAGTGCCGAATTACCGAAGTGCCAAAGTGTCGAATTTTGGAAGTGCCGAACCAAATTTCCAAAGTGCTTCGGAAGTGGCAAAACAGAAGAGGGAGGGAACATTAAGGGAATGATGACAGGAATCTAACCCTAGCCCTAATCCTACCCCTAACCCTTACACCAACCTTCCTCTACCTATAACCCTAACCCTACCTCTAACAGGAAACCCTAACCTTTACCCCAACCTTCCCCTAACCCTTACCTCATCCTTCCTCTAACCCTAGTAGGGTTAGGGTTATTGGGTAGGGGTAGGGTTAGGGAATTGTGTAGTCTCGAATTCCTGAAGTGCCAAATTGTCAAAGACCTGAGTTTTGGAAGAACCAAACCAAATTTTTGGCCCATGCACATTCAAACGTTGGCAACTGTGCCTTTGCAATAAAAGTTATTTGAGTGCACCTCCCAGGTATTAGATAACTGATTAACACAAATCCATTGTTCGGAGCACAGCCGGATCCACTGAGCAGAACTACCAACCGAGATCTTGGCCAATAAAGGGAACAGATACTGCCCTGCGGCCCAGTCTCCAAAGGGAGGGGATCATGCTCTGCTTCAGTATGTCACAGTGCATGTTGGTATTCATGGTTCCCTCAATGAACTGTAGCTCCCCAGTGCCGGCAGCACTCATGCAGGCCCAGATCATGACACTCCCACCACCATGCTTGACTGTAGGCAAGACACACTTGTCTTTGTACTCCTCACCTGGTTGCCGCCACACACGCTTGACACCATCTTAACCAAATAAGTTTATCTTGGTCTTATCCGACCACAGGACATGGTTCCAGTAATCCATGTCCTTAGTCTGATTGTCTTCAGCAAACTGTTTGCAAGCTTTCTTGTGCATCATCTTTATAAGAGGCTTCCTTCTGGGACGACAGCCATGCAGACCAATTTGATGAAGTGTAATGTCTATGCACTGACACGCTGACCCCCCTTCAACCTCTGCAGCAATGCTGGCAGCACTCATACGTCTATTTCCCAAAGACAACCTCTAGATATGACGCTAGTCACGTGCACTCAACTTCTTTGGTCGACCATGGTGAGGCCGAGGCCTGTTCTGAGTGGAACCTGTCCTTTGAAACCGCTTTGTGGTCTTGCCCACCGTGCTGCTGCTCAGTTTCAAGGTCTTGGCAATCTTCTTATAGCCTAGGTCATCTTTATGTAGAGAAACAATTCTTTTTTTCAGATCCTCAGAGAGTTCTTTGCCATATTGAACTTCCAGTGACCAGTATGAGAGAGTGTGAGAGCGATAACACCAAATTTAACACACCTGCTCCCCATTCACACTTGAGACCTCAAAACACTAACATAGAGGGCTGGCACTCCAGGCCCAGACAGAATGGGTCCTAGGCAGCCACCTATGCCCCCTGTGGGTAATCCATCTCTCTGGCGGACTTTCGGTGTTGTTTACTAAACTAAGAATTTTTGTGAATAAAAATATGAATTATAAAATTTAGACTTATATAATTAAGCTCACATTTTCCAAAATTTGCAAATAAAATACCAGGGACACTTGTACAGCTAATTATTAGTGAATATATGTTATACACACTCTATATTCACAGATACACAAACACTGATACATTCATTCACTTACACTGTTATGCACACACTATAACAGCAGTTTTTGATAGTATGCAGGTGCCCCGAGCCCTGCCCTTCTATGCCATAGTTTTATGGTTAGTTAATCTGGCTGTGGCCAGCCCCAAAACACCAGCAGTCTGACCCTGCTTCTCTCTCTAGTAGCGTCTTGTTTCTTTTATATGCCATAACTTTGGTACAGTGAATCGTAAGTATATCTGGTGGTTTTACCATTGAGCCCTTATCATAGACCCGATACACAGGCTCTGGATCATAATCAATGTATATGAATACTGTACCCTAAAATTTCATATATTGTATAAGTATTGTCAGTAACGTTTACTGCTATATGGGGTGTACACTTCAATTTTTGTTTGTTTGTTTAAATAATGTATTGTTGCGTGTTAATTGATGGTTAGAACACACAAAGTTTGTTTCCATGTCACCTTCTCTTTTTAACTTACCTGTGAATATACCTTTATTACTCTTTTGATTTTGAGAGCTCTCTCAGTTGGCAGGTATGTGGGACAGGTCCTGAGATCTGCTTTTGCCGGGACAGGAGCCCAAAACATAGGACAGTCCTGCCCAAAAAAGGACAGTTGACAACTGCAAAGAGTACCAGATATATTAAGTAAGTCTTGCACATTTATTTGTAGTTTACATAATCAGCAATCATAAAAAGTCCTCTGGAGTACTTGATTATCTCCACGCACTTGGGAATTTAAACCCTTGCACGAGTGCTATAGCTAAGATGACTTTTCTGTTTCTGGAACACTAATTGTGGAGGATAAAACTAGAACTTGTAGCACTAAGTATAAAAACAAACAAATGCAATAATGTCTCTAGAATAAGGTTTAAACATGGTGCTGCCGTTAGTGTCTTATTCAGTCAGCTTCTTACTTGATGCTAAATCTTGCTTCTTTTTCTACCAGCTTCTCATTTGAAGGCTTAAGTTTGCTTTCTATTCGTCCAGCTTTTTATTCAGATTAGCTTCCTCTTTATTCAGCTTCTTTTTCATGAAATTGATTATTTACTAAACAGAAAATCAGATCTTTCAGATATCAGAAAATTTCCAAAAAGCCAAATGATATTGATTTTAAAAACAGGCATCTTAGCATCCATGCACTTCAATAAGTAACCAAGCATTTCCTCTATGAAAACCATCCTCGCCCCTCATTTTTTAATATGGCCTGACACAAATTATATAGATTGCAAAATCTGACACCTTTACATCCATACCGTTTAATTGGACATTCTGAATAAGTAGCCAGGCATTTCTCCTATGAAAATCATCTTGGCTTACTCTTACTTTAGCTTGTTTTCTAGTAAATGGGCATCACACTAATAAAAAAAATTCAATCTGATATTAATCACAAAATAAGGCACCAAACCTGGCACCCTAACATCCATGCATTTCAATCAAATTCTGAATGTGAATTTTCCTTATGAAAAACATCTTGGCTCAGCCAAATCTGGCCTCTTTTCTATTAATTACGCATTCCTCTAGATCTAGAGGAAAAGGTTAAAACTGGCCTGAGCGACATGGTATTGCTTACAAAATATGGCACCAAACTTGGCACCCTAACATCCATGCATTTCAATGGGAAATTCTGAATATGTAATTAAAGGATCACTATAGTGTCAGGAAAACAAACTCATTTTCCTGACACTATATAATCCTTAGGTCCCTCACTCAGGGCCCCCTTCCTGCTGGACTGAAGGGGTTAACAACCCTTCAGCCACTTACCTTTATCGAGCGTCGGGCTCCCTCAGCGCTGGTGACCTCTCCTCCCCCTCCAATGTCAGTTTCCGAGTGGAGCCGAATGCGCATGCGCGGCCAGAGCTGTGCGCGCATTAAAAAAGCCCATAGGAAAGTGTCCAGTAGGAGAGATCCTTGTAACTTGTCCCGAAATCCCAGCTGAAGTAGAGCAGAGTAGTGATTATAGCTCTCAATCCCCCAAACATGAGTCGAGACTTCATGAAGGGGTAAAATGATCTGTTTAATGGACCTTTTATGCAGGTCCTCCAGCAAGGGATACTCCCACAGGGACCTTGTGGAGGATTGAAACACAAGTTACAGTAACCAATCATTTTACAGTGCAATATAAAACACACCCACATAAACAATGAAATCCCTCCTCTCTATCCTGGAGATAATTGGGTTAAGTGGCAGGAATAAACTTAATTATCTCCAGGTAGAGAAAATATTTCCATTTTACAAATGTAACAAAATCCATTAAAATACATAACTCTTATTTTACCGAACGCAACCCCCACATTTGACATATCCCCAGATAGCTTGGATCTGAGCACTCAATATAGACAAACAGCGCTCAGATCCCATGAACACAGTCATATCGCCACGGAGCTAACAAGTCTGTTCACCGACTGTTTGTTAGAAATATGCCCAAAAGTAGCTCCATGGATTTAGCTATCTGGGTCGGTTCAGTTCGTTTGTTTTGAATGTACCGAACGGCACGGTTTAGAATGGCCGCCGCCACGTGTTTGTTCAAACGAACGGCGACCACCCACAATTAATAAGCTGCACACTCCCATTGCGTGTGGTCTGGCTGTTCGCTAGTTTATTCGTTTTTTAAGAAAAGGGAATGAAATAAGGCTAACTACACGAAAAGCAGACAAAATAAAGAGTCCTAGTGTTCACAAAGCAGGGTTTTGTTACAGAAAGCATTTCTCAATGCTTTCCTATGGACGTTCTGCATGCTCAATGCGATTTTCATTGAGCTGAAGTGGTCTGGGTGACTATAGTGGTCCTTTAAGCTTTTCCTTATGAAAAACATTTTGGCTCACCCAAATCTGTCCTCTTATCTATTAATTACACATTCATCTATAGGAAAAGGTTAAATCTGGCCTGAGAGACATGGTGTTGATCACAAAATATGGCACCAAACTTTAGGGTTAATTCAGCCTCTAGTGGCTGTCTCATTGACAGCCGCTAGATGCGCTTCCGTGCGTCTCACTGTGATTTTCACAGTACGAAGACGCCGGCGTCCATAGGAAAGCATTGAGAATGCTTTCCTATGAGACTGGCTGAATGCGCGCGCGGCTCTTGCCGCGCATGTGCATTCAACCGATGACGGGAAAGGAGGAGGAGAGTCTCCAGCACCGAGGGAGCCCGGCGCTGGAGAAAGGTAAGTGTTTAACCCCTTCCTCTCCATCCAGGCCGGCGGGTGGGGGCACCCTCAGGGCACTATAGTGCCACTTTAGGCACCCAGACCACTTCAGCTCAATGAAATGGTCTGGGTGCCAGGTCCATCTAGGATTAACCCTGCCTGCTGTAAACATAGCAGTTTCAGAGAAAACTGCTATGTTTACTTTAGGGTTAATTTACTTTAGGGTTAAAGCATTGAGAATGCTTTCCTATGGACTGGCTAAATGCGCGCGCATGCGCATTCAGCCGATGACGACCGAAGGAGGAGAAGAGTCCCCAGCTCCGGGTGAGTGTTTAACCCCCTTCCTCCACCTTCAGCCCAGCGGGAGTGGGGCCATGAGGGTGGGGGCACCCTCAGTGCACTATAGTGCCAGGAAAACAAGTTTGTTTTCCTGGCACTATAGTGGCCCTTTAAGCACTGAACAAGCAAATTCGTATCAAGTTGGATAATTGGACCAGGTTGTTTTCCTTTGGATACATTTTTTGTCCATTGTGAAGAGTGCTTTGGAAATGGCAATTTTGCCAGAATGTGAAAGATTCTTTACAATCTTTTGGCGCATGTGCAACCTTTGGGTCGTCAATATGGATCATGATGGGGGATCTTTTGAAGTTATCACTATTAGTTGTGTATTTTTCATGTTTAAAGTGAAAAAATATTTCACCTGTTGCATGAGTTTAACTAGGAAGATTAAACTATATATATATTGTTCATTTTATTCTTTATTACAAGCTTTATTTCTACCATGGATTCACACATTCGTTCCTTCATCATGGTGACACAGCACAAACTGATGTCACACACTGATGCAAATAAAACGAAATCACAGGTTTCCACCCATAACAATAACTTGTGTAAGCTCTACACCTACTTTACTCTCAAACGATTATATTTGCCCTCCTACTTCCTATGAAAGCCCCTCCCTATGGCAATACTGAATCCATGTTATTAACATTCTTCCCACTGCCTAATGCTGTCATTTAGAATCCTGCCTACTTTTGTTGTTCTCAGCATTCTATCCACGCCCCCTGCTAGTCTCAACATTCTATCCACGCCTACTGTAAATATTTTGTAATCTCTCATCGTTCTCAGTCCTCCTTCATACTTTCACTCCGCCCATTGCCAATTTTTTCCTGTTTCTGTGCCGATCAGCTGCTGTCCGTGTTGTGTAATGCCTGGACTTCAGGAACCAAATCCTGTGATGGCCGAGGAGCTGGAGGAACAGTAAGTGGATTTTCCTCTGTTTTGAATGGTGTTTTATCAGTGTGGGGGAATGTATCGCGGTATAGAGATGGAATGATCCTTTGTTATACAATGGAGAAAGAGACACGGAAAGAGGAACCCCCCCTCAGTATGAACTGTTTAGTCTTGTTATATAAATGGAAACGTGGAGACAGCCACAGGTGTCTGTTGAGCGTTATCATGTCTAATAGCTAGCAGGGCTGCTGATGATTTCCTACACTGACATGGATAACGGGATTGCTCTGTAAAGTTCAGCATGTACCGCTGTTTGGACGGATTAGGTTCCCTGTCAGAAGCTGTTTCCTCTCACACTACATCAGAACCCCCCTCCCTCTGGATCATTGTACCAGCAGAGCCTGCTCTATGGGGTCCTGCAAGGTATGTAAAGTTACGGTTACAGTGAACTTTACAGTTCGGGGCTTCACCACAGCAATGGGAAATCGGACTTAAAGGGCTAAATTTAGGATTTAAACTGGGGTTAGATTTAGGGAGGTTTTTTTTTTTCTTTTTCTATTTATACATTAGTGTAATTTAGGGGGAACAGTTAGATTTACAATGGTGTCTAGTATAGAAGGGTTAGGTGTAGAATAATAATTGAGTAAGGCTAAACTAGTTACTAAGCATAATTTTAGCCTTTACACCTTAAACCTAAATGTAAGTGTAATAATAAGTTTACTTACCTCGCAGGACCTCACTGAGCAACCTTTTCAGTCACCCTGATCCCGAGGGAGAGCTTGTTTAAGGGAACACAGAACACCATTCTGTTTTTCGCAACATAAGAGTGGTCAGTCACTCTGGATTATTTACTACACTAATTTGTCATAATAGATTATCCTGGTGTGCACTGGAGGCTTTCAGACAACTACAAAGCAAGCAACATTAGTTAGTGAAAGTTTTGTTTTCATGTTTACTTTGACTGGTGTCACTGTCCTATCAACACATATAGAAAGAATAACAAACAGGAAGTGAAAATGTATTTTATTTATAAAATATTTATCCAGGAAGTATTCATTCAGATTTCTATTGTTTTTAAATATGTCCTGGGTACACAAATCTTGCATTGATACAACAGTGTACAATATAATATAAAAAAAAAATACAAAATATTAAAATACACACATATACATTTAACACATAAGAGGTAAGAAATATAGTCAACCATTATTACAATTGCATTCTGTTTTGAGATATGTTGATCTCTTTAAGGATTTTAGACTGGATATGATTTATGTCTGTGAGATTATTTCATAATTGTGGTGCTCTCTGGGAAATGAGGGTCAAGAATGAAAATGGGAAGTTGGCACAGACTGCTAGCTTAATTATTATATGGGAATCAATAACCTTGTTTCAGTACAGACCAATGACTCTGCATGTAATGGCTGTGAATGTCATGTTTGCATTGTACTTCTGTGACCATAAGTGGCATTACCAACCATGTAGTCAAAGCAGCTTCCAAGAGCTGTCACCTCAGGGGCTAATTCATTTATTTGCACAGGTAACTAGATAAACCTGTAGTTTCTGTAAAACAGCACGGTTTACATTTGTCAGTACAGTTCTACTGACTGTCAATAAGAAAGCCACTTGAGGCACCTCCTTGTGAAGACTTTTGATAATCTTGCTAGGCAAGGATTAAAGGGGAGTTTTATTTTTCACATTCCCAAGAGGGGGCTGAATCTAATAATTTTAATGAACACCCTAACGTCATGAAATAAAGACATACATTTATCACCTTAGAATGCCCATTTAGTGTGAATTTAAAGTGATTTACAAAATAGCAAAGCTGAAAACTGTTACTTGGTACCAGTTTTGGAAAAATAACGTCCAAAACTATTTTTTGAATTTACTTACATACTTGTTTTCCTGGCACTATAGTGCCCTGAGGGTGCCCCCACCCTCAGGGTCCCCCTCCCGACCGGCTCTGGGGAGAGGAAATGGGTTAAAACTTACCTTTTCTCCAGCGCCGGGCGGGGAGCTCTCCGCCTCCGATCCTCCTCCCCTCCTCCCTTTCGGCTGAATGCGCACACGCGGCAAGAGCTGCGCGCGCATTCAGCCGGTCTCATAGGAAAGCATTTATAATGCTTTCCTATGGACGCTTGCGTGTTCTCACTGTGAGACAGCCACTAGAGGATTTGAGGGCTGGATTAACCCATTTATAAACATAGCAGTTTCTCTGAAACTGCTATGTTTATAAAAAAAAAAAAAAATATGGGTTAACCCTAGCTGGACCTGGCACCCAGACCACTTCATTAAGCTGAAGTGGTCTGGGTGCCTAGAGTGGTCCTTTAAGCCAATAACCAGATAAAGATTTATAAATGTAGTTATTTATTAAAGTAATGCCAGAATGCAAACTTGGGACAATATGGGTTTCAAATGCATCTGGACATCTTTGTGATTTATTCCCTAGGGTTGGATTATGGAGAAGTAACATAGGAATTGAACATTTCAGATCTGAGCTGAAAAAAATTGTTTACATTTTTATTCATACTAAAGAGACACATCAAACACCAAACAGCCCACAGTAATGGTTATCGTGCAAGGAGTGCTCTGACACACTTTTAGTGTAAGTAGTTGGTGAGTGGGGGTTTTAAATTAATTGTACAGTGGGGGGTGGGCATGGTCCACATGGCCATCTTCCACCCCATTCCCTACAGGTGGCTAGGTTCCCCTAGCCACCTCCCATTAAATGAAGCCTATCATTTTACCTATCAACTGTAAAAAATAAATAAAATATATATATATATATATATATAGTTAATACAATGCTAAACAAAAATCTGCACACCAGTCAAGCCATAAGACTTGCTTTTCCCACAGAAATCCCAAATCAGCAGTGATGTTACAACCGCAAAGGATTCTGGGTGGGCATATGCAAATTAGTTTAACAAAGAATCACATTTATTTTTTACAGTCTTTTTTTTCATATATACTTATATATATAATTTTCTTTCAACTCTTCTTTTCTTCTGCCCTTAAAGTCAAATTAAAATCCACAATTCCAGGCGCAACTAATGGGAAAAACCAAAAACAGATATGAAAAAAATCCATATTTGCCCTACAAGGGCTCAGCACAACTTACATAGTGTAAGTGTAGTTCTGCTAGCACTGTATGTAATTGTATTATTCACCTATATGCATCCCTCTTTTTCCCCTCTGGTTTCCAACTGACCTATGACCCCTTCCTTCTTTTATTGATATATTTGAATAACCATCCCTTCATCTCTGTGCCTAGATACATATCCCCCTCCCTCAGCTTTATTGCAAGCCTATGTGACCCTCACATATCTTTATTCAACAGCCTGATTTCAATACTGCTGTAAGAAAGTCTGATACCTGGCCAACCTACCCCATGCTCATTATTACATTTATAGAAGTAAAAATAACAGGTGTACACATTGCCTCTTATTAGTACACTCCTGCACTTTCTTAACCCATATAACGTAATATTTACCCTAAATTCACCTGCTCTTGATATTCCAATTATTTCCAATTTACTTTTTCCCAGTTTAGCAATGATCTGTCTTCTCCTCCTCTTTATTTCCTCCTTCTTCCTCAGTATAAAGATCTCTCCTTACACCCACTTCACTCATCCCCCCCCATCCACATTTATATATGCCCCTTTGTGCTACACTCCCCCTTCATCTCCTGCCTTGCACTAATTTTTCTACTCTCTCACCCCTACCCACAATCGGTCTCATCCTAGACCCCATGCATACAAACCCATTCACACCTCCTGTTACTTACGCTCCTCCTACTTCTAGCAGCTGGTGATGCCTCTCCTAATCCAGGGCCCTTTATCTTCTCTACACACACTAAGAAAACCAGAAACCTCATCACAGAACCCTGCCCTTTACCCTCACTTACCAACATTGTGTGCACGCTTAAAAGCCCGCTCCGTCTACAGTAATTTAAAATCAACAGCCATACACAACTTTTTCAAACTCACTCACACTACTTGCACTTACAGAGACCTGGCTGCCCTCCTCTGATAGCGCTACTCCTGCCTCTTTATGTTTTGCTGGGCTACAATTCTATCCCACTCCTAGACTCAACTGCAAAGGATGTGGTGTAGGCATCCTTCTCTCCCCTCAATATACCTTTCAACCAATCATAACTGCCCCTGCCCTATCAGTTTCTTCTTTTGAAGTTCACACTTTCTGCCTATTTAAACCCACGCCTTTAAAAATTGCTATCATCATGACCCCTCCCTCCCCCCGGTCATCCTAGGCTATTCATTGAGCACTGGCTTCCCCACTTCCTCTCATCTAGCACTCCTTCCCTTATACTTGGGGATTTCAATATCCCTATCATCAACCCCAACTGCTATGATGCCTCTCGTCTGCTCTCTGTAACCTCCTCCTTTGGCCTTACGCAATGGTCCAATTTTTAGCAACCCATACAGCGGGAAACACCCTTTATCCCGCCTTTACCAATCTCTGTACCGCCTCTAATCTCTCCAATATTCCTTTTCCTCTGACCACCATCTGCTGACTTTTGACATCGGCATACCTAAGACCCAATTGACACCACCATCTGAACATCAATCTCACAGAAACCTCCAATGTCTTGACTTAGAACATTTCTACACTACTCTCCAAACTCTCCTTTTACCTATCTCAAACCTCAACTGTCCTAGCTCTGCAACCTCCTTCTACAATTCCACCCTCTCCTCTCAACTTAGACATCATGGCACCTCCTACATTTAAACGCTGCAAGCGCTCCCAACAACAACCTTGGGCCACCAAGCTGACTCGATACCGCCAAAAATGCTCCAGAACTGCTGAACTGTGCGTCTGACTTTCTCCACTATAAATTTATGTTGCACTCATACAGCTTGGCTCTTTCCTCTGTAAAAGTAAATAACTTCAATACCCTCATAACCACACTCTCCCGCAAACCCAAACGATTATTTCACACATTTAACTCTCTTCTTAGCCCTATTGTTCCTCCTCCACCTACTAACTTGACCGCCTCAGACTTTGCAACTCACTTCACTGACAAGATCTCTACAATCAGAGAAGAGATCTCTCATCTTTCTTCTTCCCCTAACCTCACTCCCTCTGCTGTTCTATGTTCATTTACACACGCTACAGTGGAAGAGGTTTCTGCTCTGCTCCAGTCCTCCCACCCCACCACCTGCTCCCTAGATCCAATTTCCTTGCATCTCATCCAAACTATGTCTTCTTCTTTCTCTACCTCTCTCTAAAATTCTCAATCTCTCTCTCTCCTCTGGCTTATTTCCATCGCCCTTCAAACATGCAACTATAGCCCCAATTCCAAAGAAGCCCAACCTTGACCCTAACTCCCCATCCAACTACCGTCCTATCTCTCTACTGCCTTTTGCATCCAAGATCCTTGAAAGAGTTGTGTATGCGAGATTGACAGACTTCCTCAAGTTCAACTCTCTGCTAGACCTGCTTTAGTCTGGTATCCACGCTAAGCCCTCTGTGGAAACCGCACTGATCAAAGTATCCAATGATCTACTCGCTGCAAAATCTCATGGTCACTACTCTATCCTAATTCTCCTTGACCTTTTTGCGACTTTTGACACTGTTGATCATCAACATCTTCTTCTCATCCTCCGCAATATCGGTCTACAAGCTATTGCTCTCTCCTGGTGCTCCTCCTACTTCTCCCAGCGCTCTTTCAGTGTTTCTTTCTCTGGATTTGCTTCTTCTCCTCAACTCCTCTCTGTTGGTGGCCCCCAAGGTTCAGTCCTTGGTGCCCTACTGTTCTCCATCTACACTGCCTCTCTTGGTAAACTCATTAGCTCCTTTGGCTTCCAATATAATTTCTGTGCGGATGACACGCAAATCTACCTGTCCTCTCCTGATCTCTCCCCGTCTCTCTTGACTAGTGTCTCTGACTGCCTCTCTGCTATTTCTAACTGGATGGCTGCCCACTTCCTTAAACTCAACTTGAACAAAACTGAAATTCTGGTCTTTCCTCTCTCAAGTGTTGCTACTCCCGTGTCTGTCTCCCTCCAAGTCAACGGTGCTACCATCAGCTCCACCACGCAGGCTCGCTGCCTAGGTGTTCTCTTTGACTTCGTCCTGTCCTTCACGCCTCATGTTCAGTCGATTGCCAAATTCTGCCGCTTCCATCTCAAAAATATTGTGCGCAACTGTCCCTACTTAACGCCAGATGCAACTAAGGTGCTGGTCCATTCCACTGTCCTTTCTCGCCTTGGCTACTGTAATCTGCTTCTCAGTGGTCTTACGGACTCCCAGCTTGTGCCGTTACAGTCCATAATGAATGCGGCGGCAAGGCTCATCTTCCTGTCCGCCTGCACCTTCCATGCCTCACCCTTCTGTCAGTCCCTACGTTGGCTTCCTGTAAGATATAGGGCTCAATTTTAAAATCCTGGTTCTTGCTTTCAAATCTCTACATAATGCTACTTCCACCTATCTATCTTCTAGGCACTTACGCCTATCTTCTGTCTGTACTCCAACTTCTGATGCTCGCATTCAAGACTTCTCGAGGGTTGCACCGCTCCCTCCTCCATTAGATGCTCACCTAGTCTTATATATATAAATATCAGGACATAATAGCAATAACCTGTTCTTTAGCAGGTTTTCGAATTAGGTAAATTCAATCTTCGATGAACAGCATCACCTGGCATTGCACCGTTGACATGATTTATGTAACAAAAATAAAGGCAAGATGGAGAAACCATGTGCGAATACCCTAAATACACTTTATTATTCAATAGCTTTTAGAACCACCTTAACCCCTGAAGGACCAAACTTCTGGAATAAAATGGAATCATGACATGTCACACATGTCATGTGTCCTTAAGGGGTTAGAGGACGACTATAGTGCCAGGAAAACAAACTCGTTTTCCTTGCACTATAGTGTTAATAGGTCGCCCCCACCCTCAGGGTCCCACTCTCGCCAGGCTCTAGGGGGAGGAAGGGGTTAAAATCTTACATTTTTCCAGTGCCGGGCTCCCTTGGCGCTGGGAACGCTCCTCCTCCTTCCGACATCATCGGCTGAATGCGCATGCATGGCTAGAGCCGCTCGCGCATTCAGTCAGTCCATAGGAAAGCATTCTCAATGCTTTCCTATGGACGATGGCGTCTTCTCACTGTGAAAATCACAGTGAGAAGCGCCTTTAGCGGCTGTCAATGAGACAGCCACTAGAGGCTGGATTAACCCTAGTGTAAAAATAGCAGTTTCTCTGAAACTTATGTTTACAGCAGGCAGGGTTAAACCTAGATGGACCTGGCACCCAGACCACTTCATTAAGCTGAAGTGGTCTGGGTGCCTATAGTGGTCCTTTTAAATAGCAATACTTTGAAGTAATCATTATATGTATGACTTTTTCAGTCTCTCACATAGTTGTGGAAGAATTTTGACCCACTCTTCTTTACAACATTGCTTCAGTTCATTGAGGTTTGCTGGCATTTGTTTTTCCACAGCTCTCTTAAGGTCCTGCCACAGCATTTCAATTGGGTTGAGATCTGGACTTTGACTGAACTTTTGCAACATCTTGAGTCTTTTTTTCTTTTTCAGCCATTCTGTTGTAGATTTGCTGGTGTGCTTGGGATCATTGTCCTGTTGCATGACCCATTTTTGACCAAGCTTTAGAGTCAGACAGATGGTATTCTAGAATACTTTGGTATACAGAGGAGTTCATGGTCAACTCAATGATTGCAATGTTCCTAGGTCATGTGGCTGTAAAACAAGCCCAAATCATAACCTCTTCACCACTATGCTTGACAGATGGTATGAGGTGTTCGTGCTGATATGCTTTGATTTTTGCCAAATGTGACACTGTGTATTACGGCCAAACATCTCCACTTTGGTATCGTCTGTCAAAAGAACATTTTTCCCTAAGTCTCGTTTGTTCGGATGCAACTTTGCAAACTTAAGCCATGCTTTCATGTTCTTTTTAGAGAGAATAGACTTTCTCCAGGCAACCCTTTCAAACAAACCATACTTGTTCAGTTATTTTGTAATTGTACTGTCATGAACATTAACAATTATCATGCTAACTGAGGTCTGTCGAGTCTGAGATGTAATTATTGGATTTTATTCAATTTCTCTGAGCAGTGCACGGTCTGACCTTGCGGTGAATTTGCTGGGACGTCCACTTCTGGGAAGACTGGCAATTGTCTTGAATGTTTTCTACTTTTAAATAATATATTTATCACTGTAGAATGATGGACTTTAAATTGTTTGGAAATGGACTTGTAACCCTACCCTGTTTGATAGGCAGCAGCAATTGCTTCTCTATGATCATTGCTGATGTCTTTCTTGGTACACATCTGAATGCTCCAGACCAGCAAACTGCTAAAACCTTGGCTATTATAGAGTTGTTCACACATGCTGATGATCAATTAACCAAGGGCATTTGATTAGCAGCACCTGTCTGCTACCTAGCCTCTTAATTCATATGGCAATAATAAGGGTGTACTGAGCTTTTCACACAATGATTTATGGCATTTTTACTTTATTTATGTTAAATAAACTATGACTCAGTGTAATATGTCATGTGTTCATCTGAAGTTGTAGTTAAATATTTTAAGACCATCTAAGGAAGATATGATTGTTGTTGTTGTTGTTGAGAGTGTACTTTTTATTTCGTGTGTGTGTGTGTGTGTGTGTGTATATATATATGTGTGTATGTATATATATATATGCGTGTATATAATATATAATATATATATATATATATATATATATATATATATATATATATATATATATATATATATATATTATTGCTTTGTCACACCTCTAGTGACAGTCAGACGGCCACTAGAGGTATATAAAATCCTGAGAGTAGGGAGTAAGGGAAGGTAGGAAGAGGGAAACTATATTGTTAGTGGTTACATTTTTATGTTGGGTGACTGGTCAGCTCCTGCACTGTACTTAGAGTGGAATCTATTGACCTATGAGCTATAGGTAATGGTGAACAACAATAAAGAATCAATGTTTTAGCAGATATTTTGTCTTATTTTGTACACATTTATTTTTCTCTTCACGTATTCTCTCTTTTGTTTATGTATTTGTTTATGTTTTAGTCTTCTAATGTTTCTGCTTTGTGTTTTCACAGATCACAGAGTTGGATAAGTGGCTGGATTCCGTCGTGGTGCCCAACCTCCATGTCTAAACTAAAAGCTGTTGAGTCAAAGATCCTTCAGTGTAAGAAATCATGAAATATACGTGTGTGTATGTATATATATATATATATATATATATATATATATATATATATATATATATATATATGTATGTATATGTGTGTGTGTATATATTATAGCCTACCTGCAGCACCTAGCGCTAATAAGTAAAATGTAAATGTTTAAAATAGACATCATATAAACATACCTTCCACACGTCCTTCCTTCTCCATGATCAAAACCCTGTGTTACCTTTTTCTTCTACTGTTTGGTCCCTCATACCAGGAGATACAAATTATTGGTGTTTAGGATGAGTACATAAGTTCAGCAATGCATACAAATGCTTTTAAACTTGTTTGTTGAAACAAAATTATATTGTTTTGTTTTAAATGACTGTTTCATTTGTATAAATAACTATATGAAAGTCATTCAATCTCCTAAAATGTTCTGTAACCCCACCACCCTGGTATGCATCCAGCTGCTTTATTTTTATTTTTTTACTTATTATTTGACTCTTGCCTTACCTTAGCTTACACCAAACTTGTCATGCCCCCCTTTCTATTATCTAACAGATTTTACCCCCACAATCCTTTTTAGATCTCTATTTTTCTTCTGTAGTTTCCCCTATACTTTTGACTGTTTGTTCTTTTTGTGCAAAAATGATCCAATCAGTGTGCATACATGCATATACGTGCATTTTGCAGTATACTTCTAGGTGGGCATTGGGGACCTAATACGCGTGAGTGGCAAGCACCGCACGCATCCATGATTCACCATAGGCATTGTACACAATCGTTTCCTATGGACCTCCGTGTCATGTGACCAAGTTTTACTCTATCAGTGCCGTGGAAGTGTTTCTAGTGGCTGTCAGAAAGACAGCCACTAAAAATGGATTTAACCCTGCAATTTTAACTTTGCAGTTTCTAAAAAAAAAAAACACTAATGCTTTGCATTGTAAGGTTAAAAGGACAAGACCACTTTACTCAGGCAACTTCATTGAGATTGGGTGGTTTAGGTGACTTTATTGTCCTTTAGCTGAATAGATATGCGAATAAATTGTTTTGACAGTGGAGAAAGCATTTGTTTTATCACTCAATATTAACTATATGTTCTACACCTGTAATGAACAAGCATTAACCCTACTCTCCTTACAAAGAAGTGGGTATTTTCGTGAAGGGGCACTATAGTCACCAGAACCATTATAGCTTAAACTGTTACTCCAATGACCATGACCACTTTAGTGATTTAAAATGGCCATGGTGCCTGAAGTCTGTATGTGCAACATATGTCTTCCATCAACAGTGCAATGTTTCACTATTCTTTCCGACAGCCACACTGATATTTAAATGCCTAAAATTTAACTGCCACTTTGTGTCAATGTCTCTTCCCAAGTTTAAAGGGTAATCCAGACGTAGTCCCCTTGTTCACGGTACCTAGAGGGGTATCCACTATACCTCACTGACTAGCCCTAACAAGGCTGAAACGATAGTCTGGGGTTGCTGTATTTCTCGTGCAGAGAAAGCTAGTCTGAAATTTTGGGTGGGATCAGTCTGATATGCAAATTGACTTTGTTTTTTATGTAATATGTATCTATGCATGCATGCACATTTATATACAGCTTGAGATCTGAGCTGGGACAGGCTATTTGAGCTGTTGTCTGCAGTAATGTAAACACAGCCTTTTCTATGAACAGTTGATATGGTGACTATAGTGTCTTATTGTGCTTGTCAGATTCTATAACCGTACAAAAATCTGTCATTAGCACCATTTTGATATTAAACTCTGTGGCAGAAATGGTTCGCTCCTTAGACTTGGCAATATAGTCCAATAACTAATCAATTATTTAGGTTCATTTATGTAATTTTTTATATTATTAAAGGACCACTATAGGCACCCAGACCACTTCAGCTCAATGAAGTGGTCTGGGCGCATGGTCCCCCTATTTTTAACCCTGCAACTGAAAACGTAGCAGTTTCAAAGACACTGCTATGTTTCCACTGCAGCGTTAATCCAGCCTCTAGTGGCTGTCTCCCTCTGGCCGCGCATGTGCATTCAGCTCCACTCGGGAGCTGACGTGCTTGCACTCCTGGTGTAATCCTGTGGTGCCCGGTGCTGGTCTGGCAAGGATCATGTAGACATAGCAGAAATGACCGCACTCCAAGGACTTTATAGAGATTTTCAAATAAAATTTAGCTTTTATTCAATCCATTTAAAAAGTCAACGTTTCAGCTCCCACATGGAGCTTTCATCAGGACAAAATATATATATATGGCTTTGCCTATAGTTGTGGGAGGGGCTTGATTTCCCCTTAAAAGGGCTGACAATCCACTCCCAACTTATTGTGGATTGTCTGGCGAGTCACTTCCAGTTCAGACCGCCATTTTGGATTGGTTTTTACCTGTCTACCCGCCGCGGCGTCCGCGCAGATCGTTCTCAGCTCCAAATACCGGTTTCAACCATAAGTCAGAAGCGGTTTTCTGTCATGTATTGCAACCGATCAAAAACCGTTCGGCTAATTCTAGTACACATATGCTTCGCATGCTTCACTTCATGTATCTTTTCGAACGCGGCCGTTTGGGAAATTTACTGTATATATCTTTTCGGTATTCGAACGATACAGTGTATACACTCATTCGCCTGTTTCAGCTGTTCATACATTCTATCCTTTCGGTAAATTACGGCCAAACGCCGGAATAGGCACAAATTTTCACCTAATTTAGGATACTTCCCCTCCCTGCTGGTTACACATGATGCTACAGTCATAAAAAATTCCACTTAGGGGTAAAACATAGTGAATGTATCGGAATGTTAAAACTTATATACTCAGTAGTCTGTGCGTTAAACATTGGCTGTGATGGAGCTTTGAGTGTTATAATTACCTTTTAGTCCACTTTGCACTGTGTCTTAGACCCTGCTGTTTTGTGTTTATTTACATTAAGCATACTGGACCATACTGACGGTGGCTGTACGAACACAAAACCCGTCATCTGCCTCTGTCATATTCTCCCTGCTCACCAATAGTATCTGGTAGGTTCCTTTTATTTAATTCGGGCCCACGATCTGGCTCACTACAATATACCCATACGCACAGATACTCATGCACGTCCTATCCATGGGTCGCAGCACATCATCTACTGCCACCCTCTCGTTCATATCTTTCCGCTTAGCATCAGCCTGACTCAAACTTTATCAGGTACGATGTCATAACCCTGTACATTTTCTAGGTTTTGAGTGGTACTGGCTTCCTGAGATTTAGGTTGTCCAACTAGGTTTCTGTTTCTGGTCTTAATCCATAAGCTAGTGGTCCCGCGAGGCCAACACCCATCCTCATACTCGGAGGTATACGTCCCTCGGGCCAAATCATAGTTAGCCGCCTCGCATTGTTGCATAGAGAGGGCCTCCCATGTCACTCCCCTTCTATCTTATGCTTTAGTTATTACCAAGAGGCAGACACCCCGCCACAACATTTCGGTGGCCTCATATTTCCCCTCGGGCCAACGCATAGGTAGCGCCTCTCATGCCGCTTGGCAATTAGTAGGGACTCCTCTGTCACGTTCTCAATAGCATAATTCTTCGCCGCTTGGCATCTAGCTAGCCTACCCATACCCAGCCACTTTGTCTCAGAATAGTAATGTTTGCTGTGGGATCTATTTTGGGGTTCACTTCTTTTTGCCACCTTAACCTAAAATTACTCTGTTCTCTATTAAAACAATGGTGTCATGGGTAATATTTCATCACCCTCCCGTAACAACCTAGCCAACCAACCAACCATTATTAGAACTTCACGGCTCCATCCCTACGACATCTATGTTCATGCTTTAAGTTCGCTTACTATTAACTAGGCTCTGCCTAAATGCAAACCTTTTTCCAGGACACTCCTTCCATATAGGTGCAGCATCTGCAGCTTCCTCCAACCACATTCCAACTCATATCATCAAGGCTATGGGATGCTGGAAACCCTCTGCCTATACTCTTTACATTCCAAACCCAGTTAAAGAAGTAATACAAGCTTTTCGTGACTTGTCCAAATAAACAATTTTTCGTTATGTGTATAAATTTTGTATGGTACTTTTCTTTTTGCCCACTTTTATTACAGGCCTACTGCTTTCTCGGTTCCGGCACACTACAACCGATTGGTTTCCATTTGTATGTGTTTTTATTGGTTATAATATGTTAAGTTACACTTTTCATTACGGCCAGATTGCCCCGACTACAAATTGTTTAGGCTTTGCCAGTAGTTGTGGGAGGGGCTTGATTTCCCCTTAAAAGGGCTGTCAATCCACTCCCAACTTATCGTGGATTGTCTGGCGAGTCACCCCTCCCACCACTCCCTCTATTCATATCACCCTCTAAGATGGGCCCACTTTTATTACAGGCCTACTGCTTTCTCGGTTCCGGCACACCACAACCGACTGGTGTCCATTTGTATGTGTTTTATTGGTTATAATATGTCATGTTACCCTTTTCATTACGGCCAGATTTCCCCGACTACAAAAAAAATATATATATGTGTGTATGTAAAAAATGTATAGAAACATTCTTAAAGTTATTTCTTTTTGGTGAATTATCAACTTAAGTTTCTTAAAGGGCAAGATGTGTGCTCTAATTTTCCTATGGGAGATATGTTCTACAGAGAAACCTATTTATACTTTTGATGAGGAATGAGACTATACTAAGTTTTATTTGTGAGAATGTTCACTTCTTTAACCCTTTAAGGACCAAACTTCTGGAATAAAAGGGAATCATGACATGTCACCCATGTCATGTGTCCTTAAGGGGTTAAGAGTAGCAATTGAAACTCCTATAGGTATAAAGCATATAGAGAGTTAAAAATGGAGAATAGATGAAAAATTATTATAAGAAATGACATGGCTCGAAATCCGCATTCAGTACGAATGGGGCAAGGGTATTTAAGTTAAAAATCCAAGTTATATATAAGTCTGGGTTTCACTGGCCATATTGTATATAACATAGGGTCGTTCCTTTAAAATAGGCAATTATTTGTGTATTATCCATTTTTATTATTCATTTTATTTTTTGACTATCTTGTTTAAAATTACAAATAAGACATAGTGCTAGTTTCGTTCACTGTTTTTAGATTTGTATTTTAAAAGGGAAGATCTATCTGTTACTTCAGGGCTTGACAAATTTGTTTGGAATATAGGAACCAGCTAAAAATGTTAGGAGCCAGTAATTTCCAACGAGAGAGTGCAATTCTTAAAGGGACACTAAAGTCACCAGAACCACTACAACTTGATCTTGGTTGTTCTGGTGTCTATAGCCTGTCCCTGCAGGTGTTTCAGTGTAAACACTGCCTTTTCCGTGAAAAGGCAGAGTTTACATTGCTGCTTAGTAATACCTCTAGCGACAGTCACTCAGATGGTCACTAGAGAGTCCTGGGTCACTGCTACACACACTCTGAAAGACTCACACAGGCTTGCTTACACACATACAGACACACACATACACACACTCTGACAGACTCACACAGGCTTACACACACACATTTTTGTTTGAATTGAAATCCACTCAGCCTCCCTACATTAGGGAGAGCTGAGTGGGTCTTTCCTGGGGTCCAGTGGGGCTGCTCTCTTCCTGTGTGTGAGGGAGCAGTACTCAGCCTGTAGCTCCTCTCTGCTCCCTTGCGCTCTGTAATAATGCCGGGGCCGGAATGACATCATATTCCGGCTCCTGACATCATTACACAGCGCTAGAGAGCAGCTGCAAACAGAGTACTGCTCCCTCGCGCTCCGCCCTTAATGCTTCCGCGGGCGGCTGCCCACCTCCATGCTCCCGCCTTCAAAGCTAGAGAGATGGCAAATCCCAGACACCAGGGTGAAATTTCTAGTCGCCGTGGTGATCTGGCGCCTGGGATTTGTCGAGCCCTGCGTTACTTCTCTTTCTTTTATAGTATTCAATAGTGGGTTTTCCTCATATCCTTTTTCAGTGAACTGGTTTTTAATTCTCATTGCTTGTGACTAAAAAGTGTTTATGTCCATGCAATTCCTGCGGATCCTCAGGAATTGCGCCATTGGAATGTTTTATAACCAAGGGGGAAAATGACAACTGTTTAAATATAATTAGCTACATCCACTGCTTTAAAATAAGTTTTAGTTTTAATATAATTATTTTCTATATAAATAGTTAAATCAAAAAAATTTACATTCACCTTACTATATTCTGTAGTGAAGATTATTCCCCATTCGTTTCTTGTTTAAAAATGCTAAAAAAAAGTTCAATTTTTCCACTGTACCATTCCAAATAAAAAAGATGTCGTCTATATACCGCTTGTAGGAGACCAGGTTTGCTCTCCAATCCGTGTTATGTATTATGAATTGGTGTTCCCAAAATGCCATAAATAAATTGGCATAACTGGGAGCGAACCCCATAGCGTTACCGATTTTCTGTAAATAAAAATCGTTATTAAAACAAAAATAATTATGTAAAAGAATAAGCTCTATACCTTCTATTATAAAATGTTATTTGTTCTTCAGGGTAAGTATGGTTTTCCATTAGAAAGAATTGTACTGCCTCTATACCTTTTTAAATGGGAAATGATGGTATATAGGGAGCTGACATCTGCGGTTAGCAAAATATAATGTGGTTCCCGTTGTACTTCCTATAACGTTTGAATAAGGTTCAAATTATCTTTTGAATAAGTGGGAGTTTTTTGAACTATCGGTTGCAAACACTTGTCCAGGTATTCTGATAGTCTACTAGATACTGAATCTATACTCGACTATCTGCCTTCCTGGAGGGTTGGTGAGATTTTTATGAATTTTTGGGAGGTGATAGAAAACAGGGATTTTTGGTTTTGCAATATTTAGGTATCTATATTCATTTTCATTTAGTATATATATCTCCCTTCCTTTTTGTAATAAAGTTTCAAATTTGTTTTTCATATCGCTAGTAGGGTCACCTCTTAATTTGTAATATGTATATGGGTCCTCTACCAGTCCTTCTTGTATATTATCTGATGTCTCCATTACAATATTTTCACCCCCTTTGTCCGCTGGTTTGATTACATTATTTTTATATTTTTGTAATGTTTTCAGGGCTGTCTATACTATTGGCTAATCTCTGTATCTTCAGGGTGTATCCTATATCGGACTACTTGTTCCTTTACTTATGGACGGACCAATTAAGGTCTGCATACTTGTCTGTCATCTAAATAGTATTATATTGGCTCTGAGCACTTGACATTATACTAAGGGCAATTTCATATTCAATTGTTGGTTTTCTAGGCTGTTCTAGTTTCTCAGCCTGGGATTTACTGCTTTGGATTACCCCATATATTCCAATTTCCTTTTCTTTCTATGGTTTAACGATTAGTTAAGCTGGTTAATGAGTCACTGGTTAACGCCATACAGAGCCTTCTTTACGCTACAATTTCTGCCTATGAACCATTACACTGCCTTAGTATCAGTCTGCTATTCTTTATCTACATTTATTGTTATGTATTAGATGCTCTATCAGACTTTCCTAGCCCTCAGCAGCTCATAAGCTTTAGCTGGGTGCTCTTAATTTGTAAGCATTTTTTGATACATAGTATCAGGTTACGTTCACCTGCTTTCTAGTCTATTTCCATTCTGACTATCTATATAGGATACATCTGCGTGTTTGTTTTCTATTTATTTATTTTCTATTTTATCACTTTATCACATTTTTCTGGCACTGTTTTTTTTTTTTTTTTGTGTGTGTGTGTGTGTTTTTTTTTTTTTTTTATCATCCTTATAAGGATTTAATAAAGTTGTAAATTATATATTTTAAGGTTTTCTCATTCCAATGTTGGACTAGTAGTTTAATAAGGGTAATAGGATTGGTTTTGGGCTTGTTTCTTACTAGTCTGTACTAATCTTCTTATTGATAACATACATACAGATATATAATATAATATATACATACAGACACACACTAATATACATACAGATACTATGCACACACAGATCACATTACATATTGTATCATTCCCCATGCTTCCATACCTTTTTAGCGCAGGAGGGTGGACTCCCTGGTGTCAAGTGGCATCTGGATGAGTGTGATGGGAACCTGTCTCTCTCCTCAGGTCCTGCCTATTCGTCTCCTATTAGGAAATAACTGATATCTAGTTCTAATTGTTTTTTTTTTTTTGGGGGGGGGGGGTGTTAGTGGTACTTTGTGTATATTATGGTATTATCCGCATTCAAAGTTGAAACATTGAAAGTCTGCATCAATCATTTCTAAATAATAAAACTATTTGGAAATAATAGAAAACAGTTTATAACATATTTACCTGTAAAGATTCTTATATACTTTTGTAGATAAATAATTTGGAAAGTTTTTCTAACAATTTTGAATCATTTGGAAATCTCTTTAATCTAGGTCAGGGTTGTCAAACATGCGGCTCCCCCAGATGTTGCTGAACTACAACTCCCATGATTCCCTGGCTATCTGTTTCATTGAAAGAATCATGGGAGTTGTAGTTCAGCAACATCTGGAGGGCCGCATGTTTGACAACCCTGATCTAGGTCATAGATTGATCATCAGGGACAGACCTAAATGCATTTAAAAGAAGAAAATGCATTTTTTTTTTTTTTTTTTTATTATTCACATTTGTAAATTATATTGAATTACTCCAATTGTAGCATGGTTTCTAGAGTTTCTCTTCTACTGTGCAGAAAAGTTTTCTTACTGTTGTTGGATTGAATTGGCTTCATTTGTAATAGGCTCCTAATTAGTGTTCTCTTTTAAATCTCTTTTTTTTTAATTATTATTATTATTATTATCTATTAGATATTACAATAGAAAAACATAGACCAATCTGACTATTACTATATATGAAGTGTTACATCTTAATAAGTATATACAAATGTGAAGCGTCAAGGAAAATAATTAAGAGAAAAATTTAAATAAATGTTGTCACGAATGCACCCCACCTCAACAGTGTACGTGACGTAGTTGTGGTGGTGGTGAAAGGGTTAAAGTTCACTATTTGTCTTCACTAGACCGGAAATAATGATAAAATCCCACTTAACACCACCCTCACTTAAGCATAATAATATAAATATTATTACTTTAACGCTGCCACTACCAAGGCAATTTATAAATGGGGTGCTTTGGTCCCCCAGGTAAATCAATAATAAAAACCCACCAAATATAACGAGCAAAAGGAATAAGGAATTGCAGAAATACTAATTAGTCTCTTCAGGTAACGTGATTCTTTACCAGACAAAGGCAGAACTTAATAAAGGAATATTTATTATGAGCAAAAAATAGTCACAGTGCATACAAAAATATAGATAACAATCAAAATTATTAACACTAACAGATAAAAACAAAAGGCATAAAATAAGAGAAGTCTTAATTACTTACACATTATTTAAAAGTAACACTTCTGCTCCAGGGGGTCTCTGGTAAGAAAGATGGTGACTCACTTAGAATTAGATTCTGGCCTCAAGCAAGTACAATGCACCCTTCAGGATCATTAGAGAAATACCATGTTGATTACCACAACTCATCTAGAGGTGGAGTTAAGGCATATCTATAGAGACACTAAGTGACCACCCCCCTGTGTCCAGACCCACATCAATTCAAATGTAAACATTTGGTTCTATCTACTCTTATGTACCTACCACATAAATAATAATTGCATCTATGAATTTATTATTTGCCCATTCTATAGATATTTCACACTTCTTACTTGTGACCCAATATAGCAGACATCACATTCCCTTCCCCTATGGTCAAGGTATGCCAATCATGTTTGGGCTTGTTTAGAAGATGGTGCTTGTCACATTCCAAATATAACAGAAATGAGGCTTAATTATTATTCTGTGGGTAAATATGAATATTTTTTTTTTCTCTCCTTTTGGCTATGATACTAACAAGACTAATGGCCACTAACATATCAAAGAGATTGACTTCTCAATTAAGAGGTACATGCCATATACCTGAAGCCAGACTTTCAGGCTTTTCAAGTGTAGAATCTCACACCTTGCAGAGCCTTTGATTAATCACAGGATTTCCATTCATAGGATAAACCATCTTTCCCTTTTCATGTTCGTATGCAATTCACACTACCCCTTCTGCCATCTGACCTCTGGGGTCTCAGCTTCAAAGAGGGATTAAGACAAAAAAAAAAAAAAACTTCCATAAAATCAAATTAACCCCTTTTTGACATTGACAATACCACCTCTACCAGGCAGGCAGATCATCTACGCACTGCACAAATGACATTACAGGACAATATTCCATAGTGCAATAATGAATTATGCACCCTTGCCGTGACCTATGTATGTTGAGATCTAATGTCATGGTGGAAATTTCTTAGTTCGATATTGTGTAAATTATTATTCCACTGTTCCCAACTCTTCTTGAAGCTTTCACAAGTACCTTTTCTGCCTAAAGTTTCCGGTCTCCATTTGTTGAGATATTGCATCGGAGTACAAACTTGAAACCAATTTGGAGGGATCGATGATAAAAAAATAAATAAACTATCATCTTTAGTTCTTATTAGATTTTGAGGCACGTAAGATTTAATTTGAAGATAGGAGGATATATTATTTGAAGAAACAAACTATTCCTGTAGTTGTTCAGATTATTTTATATATTGATCTATATTGAGCATATCCTTTATCAATAAAAGACCTCCCTTTGTCCAATGTTATTTATATTCAGACAGCTGCCTATCATCTCTGATGCCTAGTCCTGCCACGTTGCTACAGATATAAAACAAAACACACATTTGAATATCCAGCACTCTGAATGGAATTTATTGACACTGTAGAGGCCTCAAGCAATGTTTGAACCGACTCTCTGAAGGGAACAAAGAGAATCAAAAGATTTACAATTAAAGAGACAATCTAAGCACCAACACCACTTCATCTCAGTGACTTACTCTTACTGCAATGATCCTGACATTACACTCCCACAATGTCTGTCTGTTTCAGAGACACAGCAAGGTGTACATTGTGGAGCTAATCACCCGACTTTTGGCTGACGCATTTACATTGACTAGATGGTTCCACGTGCTTCCAAGTGAAACTCTGGTCTTGACGTTTCATGTCCTCACGCATTGCATCAGGACGTCAAGGTTCAATGCTTCTTATAGACAAACATTGGACACAATGCTTCTCTATGGAAAGCATTTGATTGGACAGAGATGTCACCAAGCATGATGACATTAGCAGAGGCAGGTAGGGCTACCCTGAAGAGACTGTGCTAGTGCTGTAAAACAGATCAGTAAAAGGTTATTTTACATGGATTTATTTTTTTATTTTATTTTTTTAGAAAAGAAGGGAGTCCTCAAATCCAAATGAGCTAACAAACACTTGGAGCTAAAAAAAAAAAAAAAAATGCATTCCTAATGTTGGTGTTCCTTTGCGTGTGTATGTACATATGTAAAACATATGCATTAATATGGATAGCCAATGCAGCAATTTCATCAAAAATTTGTTTAGTGATTTGAATGTTTTGTCTTATCAGTATTAATAGTGAATTTCCATTGTTTTTAGGCATTCAGAACAAATTTTCTGCTCGCTATGTGTCTCTGCAAGATCAAAACAAGATATGGACACTAACCGTTAATCCAGAGGTTCGTGACAAGACTCCCCTTGTGATGCTCCATGGTTTTGGAGGAGGAGTTGGCCTCTGGATTCAGAACATAGACCCTTTAAGTAGTCGACGGACTCTCCATGCCTTCGACTTGTTAGGGTTTGGTCGCAGCTCACGCCCAACTTTCCCTAATGATCCCGAAGGAGCAGAGGAACAGTTTGTATCATCCATTGAACAGTGGAGAGAGGAGATGGGAATAGGAGACATGATCCTCTTGGGACACAGTCTTGGAGGCTTTCTGGCTGCCTCTTATACGATCAAATATCCCCAGAGGTATGTGGTAGAAATATAAATAATTTTGTTCTAATTTCTTATCAATAAGATTATTAAAGTAACTTCTGTTATTCACCATGTGTATGTAATAGCTTGTATAAGCTTACACTTGTATAAGTGATACAGAACAGTCATTTAATCAATTTTTTTCATTATGCTACTGTATTTCTTCAGGGTAAAACACCTCATTCTAGTCGATCCATGGGGATTCCCAGTTCTGCCAACAGACCCCAGTGAAGTACGTTCCCCTCCAACATGGGTTAAAGCTGTAGCTGCAGTACTGGGACGATCCAATCCCTTGGCAGTTGTAAGAGCAGCTGGACCCTGGGGTGAGTCTTTCCATTTTTATTCCAATTTTACATATGTATGTTTTCCTACTTCCACTTATTTAAAATAGTATGTTTTCCTACTTCCACTTATTTAAAATAGAATTGCTACCATCATCTGTGAGATGTTTGAGGGCTTTTTACCATTGTTATTTTGCTATCCTTTTCCACCTCCTTGATCTTTTTTCCACCCTGGAGTTTCCTGTCTGGTTCCAAAGTCCTTCTTGATTATTGGACATGTGTATGGGTTGGCATAACTGTTACAGTTATCTGAATACATGTTACCTGACTAATGGGTTGTGATTGTAGCTTCTTAGGCTAACACTGCCAACTTATTTTGCTAGCACTGGTTACTGGAACACACATGATCCTTTACAAGTCATAGTTGATTATAGGAATCAAAGTTTATAATCAGCCGGTCGGCAAGAGGTTGCCATAACTGATCCATTATTGCTTGCATATACAAATGTGAGTTTGGAGTTGGACATATTGAACTGATACTGTATATGTATGTATACCTACATGAGCTGTTGGGAAATATGTTACTCTTTTACATTTGTGCGACACATACAAGACAATATCAACCTGCAAATCATTTCCTGTTTGTATCTTTATTACAATATGGTACAATGTTCTCTCGTTCTCAGGCCCTAGATTGGTGCAGAGATTTCGTCCAGACCTGAAAAGGAAGTTTGAGGATTTCTTTGATGACGATACGATCATGGAATATATCTACCACTGTAATGCACAGACACCTAGGTAGGCCTCACACATAGCATGATGTTGCTACGTGACCTTACATCTGTCTGCAATAACACTGTTGTCTATTTTTCCATTTCTATTGCCATTAATCTTCTTATATGGTTTATCACTTCTGTCATATTTTTTTTCCTCCTGACAGCGGTGAGAGTGCTTTTAAGACCATGATGGAGAAATTTGGTTGGGCTAAACGCCCAATGTTGTCCCGTATTCAGTTGATCCCAAAAGACCTACCTATCACCTTTATCTATGGAGCAGAGACTTGGATTGACAGAACTACAGGAGAGCGAGTGAAAGAGGAGAGGCCAAACTCGTATGTGGAAACACTGGTATGAAATAGCACAGAATATATTCAATGTATTGTATTTACCTGCATTTTCCCTATTTATACAAGATGTTTGTTATTTCACTCATTTTATTATAATCAGACTACTATTCAGTTATTGAGATAAAAAATGTGCAACATGGGAAAACAGTTGCTCACCAACTGAAGAATGTTATTCAAGTTTGAACAATGTTCAAATCATGGTGTCTGTAAAGATTTTGACATGCAAGGATATCTTCACTTTTGGCAATCTTGTACAAACTATCAGATTTAGGCCCCAATATAAAACTTACCTTTATTCCAGTTCCAAAACAAACTTGCAGCAGCCAGACCCTCCTTCATTGAAATTTGCAATTGCTTTTGTGCAATCAGGTACTTTAAGACACATTATGTCACACTGCATGCCCTGCAATTGCCGATATCTGCCAATCCAGTGCTTCTCATAAAGGAGCATTGAATTAAAATACTTCTGCATGAGAAGCAATTGCTGCATCGGCATCATTATGCTGTGCATTATAATGCAAATTGTGAATTCCTTTGAAAATGGAAAAAGGAACAGTCTTTCTGATCCACTAAAAGTGTGTTTTTCTGTCTCAGAAATGTTTTACAAGGTCTGAGAAAATAGACCACACCATAAGCACTACATGAGAAGAGCACTGCGAGCACCATAACTACTACAACATGCTTTAGTGGTTATGGTGCCACTAGTGCCTTGTTGCTACTCCGTGTAAGTAGTCAACTGTTTGCTTACGGTTTGACCACTTATCTGTGGTCTACCAGGCACCACTTCCTGCCTCTGCAGGAAGTGAAAGCTGCCGATGGCATTGTGACGGACCGCCTGGCACTCCGACTGGGTACCTCTGTCAATCGCTGCTTCTTGGTACTTGTGAGTACCATAACCACCATAAACCCCACGAACCGTCGCAGCTTGGCTGGGGTCTCGCCATCCTCCACCCACCCTGGACCCAAGAACAGGATCCAGCTTCCAGTGGGTAGACCTCTCCTAGTCCAGAGAGCGTAGCTGGAAAAGCTCTTAGAAGAGCATGTGATTATACTCAGGGGAGTATCGTGATTATAGCAATCCCCAGAGTGTAGTTCTCCAATCCCCCACACATGAGCCAAGACTTCATGAAGGGGTAAAGCAGGTCTGTTTAATGGCAGCCATCACTGGCCTTATATGCAAGTCCCTATGCAAGGGGCACTCCCACCTGGACCTTGTGGGGAACTGCAGCACCAGGTCACAGACCAATAACAACAATGGGTAAATGCATGACATTCCTATATACAAACACACAATCCCTCCCCTCTGCCTTGGAGATAATTGAATCAGGAGCTGTACTAATCTAATCCAATTATCTACAAGCACAGAAAAAATACATACTTTTTAAAAACACCCTAAAAATGCATAAAACCCCACAAACGTTACATTCCTGATAGCCCTGATCTGGGTGACCAACATAACCAAAAATCACCCAGATGATTTCAGGGGTTCAGGAATTTCCTGGAAGTCTTATTTTTGACCCACCGTGCACATGGTCCCATGCCCAAAACCATTCCAGAGAATTAGGGCTAATAGTCGGTCTCTCTGTCTGGAGTACAAAAGTACATACTTCACATGAACAAAGCCTTTTAAAGGGCATTGGGCAAGGTATATTGCAGGGTCCATAGTCCTGAGGCAAGAGGCTGGCCAGCAGGCCCCTCCAAGGTTCAGTTCGTCACAGGGCCATAGTCACAGGGTAGGAGGCTGGCAAACAGGCCCCACCAAAAGCCAGAGACGATGTTACTTTTGTCACAAATCTTCCCTACCAAGGGGAGACTAACGAGATACCTCACCTCCTGTCGGTCGATACCCGAGTTAGTCGAGCAACCCACCCATAACTAGTGCTTGACTTGTAGCTCTCAGGTGTCCAGCTTTGTCCTGTCTGTCCCATGCTGCAGAGGGGTCGTCTGGTACTCCTGGTTGCTTTCGGCTTTGCAGTTGAGGATAAGGGGAGGGCAGAGGCCAGCTGCGCTTTGCCCTGTTGCCAGCGTCTATTCAGGCCAGGGTGTCCTGCGGGTATTCAGGCCCGGGACCAGGGGAAAGAGGAGGGCAGATGCCAGCTGCTCTCTGCCCAGATGGTTGAGAAGAGGAGGAATTGCCTACCTCATCCTCCTGGCATTCCTGCGAGGTTGGTTGGGAATCTGGACTGGCCGTCCAGCCTCCCTGTAGGTCTGGTGCAGAGGCCGCCGTCCCATCTGCACCATTGGGGTCAGGAGGGCTGTCCCTCTGTAGTTGGGGTGAGGGACCAGCTGTCACCCCTTCTGATATATTCAGCTGCCGCCAGGGAGGGAGACCAGCTGTCTCCACTCCCTGTAACACACTGCCGCTGGGGAGGAAGAACGACACCTTCTGGTCCCTGTACTGTACACTGCTGCTGGGGAGTGAGACCGACCGTCTCTTCTCCCAATAACATACTCGGCCACTGGGGAGTAGGACCAACTATCCCTACTCCCGGTAATGCTGGCTGGTGCTGGGTAGTGAGACCAACTATCTCCACTCCCAGGGATGCTTGCTGCTGCGGGGATGAGAGACCAACAATCTCCTCTCCCAGTAATACTGTCTGCCGCTGAGGAGAGAGACCAGTTGTCTCCTCTCCCTGTATGGTACACTGCCACTGGGGAGTAGGACCGACTGTCCCTACTCCTGTTCACTCTGCCTGCTGCTGAGGAGTGAGACAGACAGTCTCCACTCCCTGTAACTCACCTTGCCGCTGGGGATGGAGAACGATCCTCTTCTCTCCCTGTGACTGTCTGCCGCTGGGGAGAGATACCGGTTGTCTCCTCTCCCTGTGAGATGCACTGCCGCTGGGGAGAGAGACCGGTTGTCTCCTCTCCCTGTGAGATGCACTGCCGCTGGGGAGAGAGACCGGTTGTCTCCTCTCCCTGTAACTCCAGCTGCCACTTGGATCTGGGCCGGCTGCCCAGCATCCCTGTAGGGCCGCTAGAGACACCTCGGTCCCATCTCCACCTGCCTGTTGGGGTTCCTCACAGTCTATGAGGTCCCCTACTTTGGATACCTCCGGCTGCCCCTGGGAAGAGAGTCTAACCTCTTTTCGTTGGAGACTTCTTTTCCTCACTTTAGCCAGCAGGAACTCTTGGTCTCTCTTCGCTTGTCTTTCAACGGTTACCTGGTTCCAGTTCACCTGGAAGGTATCCATGGACACATCAGGGTCATACCAGGCCACTCACTGCCTCACCTTGGCCAGCAAATCTTCGCAAGAGTCAGAGTATGCCATACTTGCCTGCTCCAAGTCAATGGACACTTCTGCTTCCAGGGGCACTACACAAATGCTAGTGTTGCCCTCACTATGATCAACACGTTACCGGTGCCTCCAAGATTCTTCTCCTCGCACTAGGACGCCATCCCACTGCTGCCACCAAATGTGACTGACCGCCTGGCACCCCGACCGGGTACCTTCGTCAATCGCTTCATCTTAGTACTTGTGAGTACCATAAGCACTGCACTGGAACACCATAACCACCGTAAACCCCACGAACTGCCGCAGCTTGGTTGGGGACTCTCTGTCCTCCACCCACCCTGGACCCAAGACCAGGATCCAGCTTCCAGTGGGTAGACCTCTCCTTGTCCAGAGAGCGTAGCAGGAACAGCTCTTAGAAGAGCTAGTGATTATACTAATGGGAGTATAGTGATTATAGCAATCCCCAGAGTGTAGATCTCCAATCCCCCAAACATGAGCCAAGACTTCATGAAGGGGTAAAGCAGGTCTGTTTAATGGCAGCCACCACTGGCCTTATATGCAAGTCCCTATGCAAGGAGCACTCCCACCTGGACCTCGTGGGGAACTGCAGCACCAAGTCACAGACCAATAATGTTACATCCCTGATAGCCCTGATCTGGGTGACCAACATATCCAAAAATCACCCAGATGATTTCAGGGGTTCAGGAACTTCCCTGAAGTCTTATTTTTGACCAACCGTGCACATGGTCCCATGCCCAAAACCGTTCCAGAAAATTAGGGCCAATGGTCGGTCTCTCTGTCTGGAGTACAAAAGTACATGCTTCACATGAACAAAGCCTTTTAAAGTGCATTGGGCAAGGTATATTGCAGGGCCCATAGTCCTGAGGCAAGAGGTTGGCCAGCAGGCCCCTCCAAATACCCGTGACCAGGTTCAGTTCGTCACTGGGCCATAATCACAGGGTAGGATGCTGGCAAACAGGCCCCTCCAAAAGCCAGTGACGATGTTACTTTCGTCACAGGCATTCACGAGCTAAGCCTTACAATGCAGGGTAAGCTCATTGGCTGAGATTGTTAGATGACTACTCTCAGCCAATCAGCTGAGTACTGCACCACCAGTTTGACTACTTACATTGGGATGGGGACTCTGGTGGTTTTGGTGCTTAGATTGTCCCTTTGGCTTTTCCTCTTGGAAGTCACACTCCAGATTTTGGACCTGAGTAACATTTGTATTTGGATCATTCCTTAATAGTGTCTGTTATGTTGCTATCATTTTATTAATGTAAGCAGTACATGTTATTATTTGCATGTTATACTTTTTTTGTTTGTCACATACACTTTGAGTTTGTCAGCAGTTTTCAAGGTGAACATAATTCATTTTTGTTTGGCAGGCAATCAAAGGAGCTTCTCACCACGTGTATGCAGATCAGCCTAGCACCTTCAATCAAATGGTCGAAGAGATCTGTGAAGCTGTAGACTGAAAGCATGTGCAAGGAATAAAAAAACAAACAAAAAAAAACCAGTACTTCTATGGTGAAGCACAAGAACTGATTCTTTACCTTTTTTTTTTTTATGATGAAAGAATAGACTGACTCGTACCTCAGCTTTGTTCTTCTAACTGGTGGGTTGATATTGCGCACAGTACATAGGTGCTAGCTGGCAATTTGTTCACTTGCAATTACATAGAATGTAGTGCTACTGCAAAGCCAAGTTTCTTCCATTTCTTTCTTCCTTTCTAAACAATACCCTGTCTTTGCTTTTCTTGGAATAAGCAGATGCAAAAAGCATATTGATTGTCCCAATTACTGAAATGTGCTGGACTTTAAGTAAAGTATGATGCTCCGGATCAGTTTTATTATCGTTCTACAGTTGAATTGGTAGGTGGGATTATTTATGGTGCTGGATGTTTGCCCTACTAGGCATGTACCTTAGAGCCATTTAATTGAAAGTTATCCAATTTAGTTGCTCAATCCTTACATTTAATGCTTGTTCCAAGATCTGCACATTGAAAAAAAAATTGTATCTGATGTCCAAAAATATAAAAGCACATGAGCAGCCTAAATTTTCTCCTACCAGTAAGAAGCACATGGACTATTTGATGTCCACTTCCATGTCTACAATGTGAGAAAGTCTATCCTTAGTACCTGTGAGACTTGGCATGTATGTTGTTAGAACTACCTCCTAGCTATAACTTACTATTTGCCATTTGTACTGAAATTAACATTGATATTTTACTGTGTAGTGATTTGTAATGTGTAATCTTTGTATTGGTTTGTTTGATTAAGGTTTGGTTCGTTAACGTCTTTGTTTCATTTGACAAAAATGTTTGTAACCATTTGAGACCTTTGTTTTGCTGTGGTGACATACTGTGGCTATTTCTTTGAATTACACACAGTACAAAACATAAAAGGCAAATCATGATAAAATACTAAGATAGGTAAGAAATCTATAATTATATTGCTTCTGTTATGTACACAAAAATACATATATTGATGTTCTGCTGGTCATATAATTGATGCTCACTGCATAGAAGCTGAAAAATCTCTTTGAACTCAGGAAAAAAAAATAATGCTTACATTATGACCTGTCCTCCCATTTGAGCAGACAGGAGAGAATTCAACATTTTCTATGTATAATTCCTAATTTCCTTGATTATGCAGTAACTATATATAGTATAGTTTGTTTCCCTTTTATATCTTAAGGTTACTTAGTTTTTAAAAGGAATCTGTAATATTTCTGTTTTGTCCCTTACAATGTATAATAGTATCATGACCATGCTTGCCAATATTTGGTGGGGTCAATGGTATGATATCTCCTTTACCCTCTTCCAGTGGGATCAGGAATTTAGCTGCCCTAGGCAAAATGAGGTAGTCCTTAAGTAAAAGAAGGCAGGACAGTTTGCCCCCAATGTGAGAGAGTGTGACAAACTGTAGTCAGTGAATTTTCAGCATGTTAACACAATTTACCAGTCTATAAATGTAAGCTTTTTTTCCAGAAGGACAAAAAGCGGCTATTATACTGTGAGCATTGGTTGTAAATCCATCTTTACTATATATGGCCATAAAGCCCATTTTAATAATAAAAAAAAATGTGCCTAGCAGACGTGCTGCTATAAAAGTGTTTGTTTTTGAAAATGTATTTTGTATGCATTTTTCTGCCAGTTATGCCACAAATAAGTACCAAATGAACGTATTCACCTGCTTATTATTGGTTACTCATTTGAGCAAATAAGTAGTTATGTAGCATTAAATGAACAGTAGCAAATGGCAAATACGGTTGATACACTTCTTTAAATGTATTTTTATTTGCTAAACCTAGGCCTTAATTTTCAGTGGCCTCATTTTTAACAGAAACGTTTTTTTACACTGGAGGTCTGTGGTAGAGAATTGGTGTTGCTACCTCCTAATCATGAAAACACACTTGTAGCAGACTGATATTTTCAGCACCATTAACCTGAACTGGCTGAGGACCTAATATTTGGGTTCATTCACTAAACCAGAAATTGTAAAGAAGGGAATTTTAAATATTAGGCCAGACTATTTGAATTGGAAACATTTTCCAGTTGTGTAAAATGCCTTGTGATTCCCCATATATTTCTAGTTTTAGTAAATGACTAAAATAATCCAAAATTTTCTTGAAGTGCCTTGTATAACTAAACCTCTTTCATAACACATGTGCCAAATAGCTTTGTATTTCCTTATCTTTGCCAGCTGACTAGAACATGATACATGTTTAAGTGTTGATGAGATGAATCAAGATTTCACTGACCACATTAGTTAGCTGCCTAATCACAAAAGAAGAAAAAAGGCATCTAGGCACAGTTTTACTTTTTTTTTTTTTTTCTAGTTCCCATAGCATTATCTAAATTCTATTATATTTAAAGGGACACTATAGGCACCCAGACCACTTTAGCTCATTGCAGTGGTCTGGGTGCAACATCCCAGGCCCCTTAACTCTGCAATTGTACTTTTTGCAGTTTTTGATAAACTGCAATAATTACTTTGGAGTGGCTGTGTGTACCTGACAACCACTAGAGGGACTTCTTGGTGGTTAGGCAACTTTTGGTCTCCTAACTGATGCTGGACATCCTCACATTCTGCATGAGGACATCCAGTATTACCCAAAGCCCCCCCCCACAATGCTTTCCTATGGGGAAAGTCCTAATGTGAGAGTATCGCTTGCCGCACATGCACATTAGGTCTCCCCTGCCGTCTGAAAAAGAGAAAAAGAGCGGAGGTGGAGGCTGAACCAGCGCCGAGAGATATTGGCGCTGGAATCTGGTAAATGGGGAAAAATAAATTAAATCTTAATGGTGCTTACATTATGACCTGTCCTCCCATTTGAGCAGACAGGAGAGAATAACATTTTCTATGTATAATTCCTAATTTCCTTAATTATGCAGTAACTATATATAGTATAGTTTGTTTCCCTTTCAAATATGGTGTTTAACCATTTTTGCACCAACAGAGGAGGGGGCGCTATAGGGAGCGATAGTGCTAGGAAAACAACTGGTAAATAGAAAAACAGGTCTTACTCTACATTCATTTATTTATTTATATATATATATATATATATATATATGTGTATATATATATATATATATGTATGAATAGACATGAGCACACAAACACGACAGCCTTGGTAAGAGGGCTATAAAAAAAAAAATGTTTTTTCATGTTTTTTTTTTTTTAAACCGGTTAGTTTTATTGGAGATAGTCTGGTGAAGTTTTGTTGTTTTCTGGTAGGTTATCACAATGTGGCAGGTAATATGAGAAGACTTGCACTGCTTCTTGGTTAAAAAAAGGAAACTGAGAAAGGTACTGGAAATGGAAGTTAGGTTGTAGGAGCTGTGGAGAGTGAAGCTTGGCAGGTTTCACAGGTAGTGTTGGAGCTTACCAGAGAAGATGTTATGAAGCTTGCAAAGATATATGTAGGTTTGTCTGGATTAGACTGCCATTATTTTAATATATTTCAGTGATCGGAAGAACTATAAAGTAAATTATGTAGGTAGTTGAATTTGCAAAAGTAAATTTGAGGTGCAGATGCATATATTACATAATCAATGGCATTTGTTGCATTATACTCTTTATTACCACTGAATTTAAAAAAAAAAAAATATGCTTCTGATGAGAACTAATTTTATGTTGGTGTTTGTTATATATCTTAATTATTTTTTTCCTTTAAATGTTGTGGTTTATGATTGAACATCCAACCAGATGTGCACTGAATGTTTTAAATGGGAACAATCTGATTTTAGTTTTTTGTTTTGTTTTGCTTTATTTCTCCTCATTTATTACATGACACAGGATCCTATTTCTGAATAAAATGTATATTTCCTTTGATGCTACCTGTAGATGTGGCTTCTCCGGTTTTGAAATCCTTTCTAGAAACACAATTTTATTGCAACTTATGCAATATTACACCAGAAATGTCAGTTTTATTACCTGTGTAAAACAAAACCTTTTCTTACACCAGCATTTTGACCCTTGCCAATGCAAGCTCATTCTCTTGAGTGTATATAGGACATGGGACTCTGTGCACCCCTATTCAAAACAAACTAGATCTTGCAAGTGCTGCCTGTTAAAATTGGTCTCCACTAGTAAAAATTGATATTGTCACAACATATTACTAAATTGTATTCATTAATATTTTTGTATATCACCATCATATTCTGCAGAGCTTTATAATGTCCGTCACTCCTTCAGAATATTGGTCTGTAGTTAATAACCAAGTCTACACCTGAACATAACTACTTTTTATTTTCTTCCTATGTTTGTAATTTTGACTGGAAACTGGTAATTAGTTTAAAAACTTGCACAGCTCACATTTTATGAATGAACACCTTTGTACTTTTGTGTATCATTGCACATTGAAATGTAACTGTGTGATGACACTGGACTAACAGGTTATTCATCATTTTACAAATGATATTTAAATAATAATTTATAAGACATTTTATATATAACTTAATAATAGAAGTTTTATTAATAATCAATTGTATATGGGTATTAAAGTGAATTTTTATAGATTATTGTACTTTTTATATTTTTTATTTTGGTCTTATATGTGTGGTTGTGCGTTACTCATCACTTGTTCTCAAAGTATTCTTTAATGTAATTGACAAACTGGAAAATGTCCAGGTTATGTGAATAATCCTATTAATGATGATTCCATTTATATAATAGCAAATATTCTTATTCCAGTAGCACCTAAATTATTAAGTTATAAAACATGCCCTAGTTTGCTTTTCTTAAGTTATTTGCACATTATACACATTTCTGTGTGAATGGACTTCACACATGACCATAGCACATGTATTGTGGAGGATATGCATTTATGACAGCACCTACATTATTTCTGTATTAATTTGTGCATATTGGGCCTGGTATGTCACATCCAAGTTTCTCCAAGCACTCAATTCACTTACTGAGTGCACTCATAACTGTGATCACTTATGCTGTGGAGGTGTCTCCACTTCGACACATGACATAAGAATTAACTGTAAGGTGGCATGTAAAATTTATTTATGGGCTTAAAGGACCAGGCTCTGCCACACCAAATCAGGAAGCCTGATCATTTAAAGGGACACTATAGTCACCTGAACAACTACAGCTTAATGTAGTTGTTCAGGTGAGATCTATACCTCCCTGCAGGCAATCTAATGTAAACACTGTATTTTCAAATGTTTACAGTCAGCTTGCGCCCGCGCACATGCGCGGTAGTGCCCTCAGGACTTAAACAGATCCTGCTTGACCCTCAATACAGAGCCTCGTCTCGTACTTGGGGGGGATAATTTGTATGATTGTTGTTCAGCGCTTAGGAGTGTTCGGTAACTGACTTCACATTCGGGAAAAATAAACACTTTGGCGACGTTAACCCCTTCACCTACTCGGGGTGCCGTTACAAAGCCCATCTGTGTTTAATATGTAATTTTTATTAAAACCTTTGGTCTTTCTAAAGTCAAATTTCAGTAGGGGGAAGAGAGTGGCCTACAATAAGATCCTTGTGAAATATGGGATCACCATATAATGTAGTAATCTACAGATTGTTGTGGAGACACATTTTTGAGAGATACACAATTTGTCACGGTGCCAGCTTGTAAAGCTATTTTAGATGACTACTTTGCTAGCTTCAAGTGAACATTCAATTATCCCACAAAAATTAAACTAAATGGTTCACCATTGGGGAAAAAAAATTAAAATAAAAAATACACATTTAAGTTTGGGATATGTTTTGTCAGTTACTATGTGGTTCTGGTGTATTCAGGAAAAGTGTCCTTCAAACGGTACATCAAAAAAAGGTACTTATCGTCAACTTACTTTTTCTCAGTAGGAGATTCTGTTGGGATACACCAAACTACTCCCATAGCAAATTACACAATAGCTTGTCTATATTTACTACTAGCTGCTTAGTTGCGGAGTGGCGAAAACCTGACTGCACTTTTGTAGTCTGAAATATACTAAAAAAAAAAAAAAAAGTAACACCCTAACAAAAGTGTTATCTATGTTACAAGATCTTCCTATTATACTACCAAAAACCTTCTTTACCACCAGACATACATTTACAGAATATATGGCAAAACAAACATCTGCGACTAGCTTTCAGTACCCTCACACGTCATAAGCTCTGTGGGGGGCTAGGTCTACCTGACGTTGAAACCTATTATAGAGCTGTACTACTAACGAGGATATATGAATGGGCGGACCCATCAACACACAAGAAATGGGTACATTTAGAAAACAACAGGTTCACAACACCACTATACACCGTGCCATGGCATAAACATGGACAGACACTTCTCCATCCTAAAAAGCGAAACCACCAAACAATAATACCGACTCAAATTAGGCATTCCCCTCCTATATCCCCACACCCGTCCCCGCTCTATCCATTAACACAGAACCATCTCTCTCCCCGGGCCTTAGAGCAGTCACATTTCGTCCAACCCGCAACTCACAGTATCTCACTCTAGGCACAACCTTAGAAGCCAATGCCTTTAAAACCGCTATCACACTTAGCGCATACCGAACCTCTGACTCCGCTAGAATTCTTTTTCTACAACCAACTCTCACTCTTTAATCACACTGAGGCACATCTATTGGCAGGCGACCGCCTTCTCACTATATTCGAAAACAAAGTACCCCTCTATCTTCTTTGAATTTCTACAATATGAACACAAAACCTCACAACCTACATTTACAACCTCTTGGGCCAATGACCTGCAGATCACTGACAACTGCGAAATAAACCACCATTTTCGTACAAATACACAACACCACCATTAGTTGTAATATTATGCAAGCAAACTAAGAATATCTCGCTGGCATTACTCACCTGACAAGCTCCACACATTATTCACAACTGCTACCGATGTATGTTGGAGATGCTGCCAAGGGAGAGGTACATCTGCAAATATATGGTTGTCATGCCCCATTATCCAAGAATACTGAAAACGAATACCCCTAATTGTACACAGTGCAACGGATATACGCATCCCTTGCACAGCAAAGATGATGCTATTCCTTCTTTAAAAAAAAAAAAAAATACAATGTGTGCTGGCACTCAATTACATCTAGGTGCAGGTATTCGAGGTTAAACCCAAAACAACCTCCTAATCACAATCATAAATAAATATGAATACCGCACTCTATTTAGTGATAAATACATATAACACTTGTTGTTATTGCTGAAATATATTCATAATGTTTATTCTAGATAAATTTATGTAAAGTATAATGGTAGTGATGTTCATTTCATCCTGAATACATCAATTATATACAAGAAATATATACAATATATACAGAATCCTCCCGTGTGTGGGGTAAAGTTCATCTAATGTATATACACTTGGTAATGATCCTTATAATCGAGAAAATTTGAAAAAATGGAAAAATATAGAAAAAATGGAAAAATTTTAAAAATCCCAAATCCAAGGGAAAAAAAACGGAAAGAAAAAAAGAAAAGAAGAAAAAAAGAAAAACAATATATGAGTCCTGGTAGTCCAAAATATAGTGCACTATATGTAGCTGTATATGGGTGGATCTCACCAATGTAGAAGTATTGTTCCTGGTATACACAGTCAGAGTAAAGTAGTAATCAGATGATGAGATGGACGAAGGTGAAGATAATTTCTGATGTGGCAAACAGGCAATCACTCCATCTGACCACACACCCACTGGGAGCTGATGGAGTGATTGCCTGTTTGCCACATCAGAAATTATCTTCACCTTCGTCCATCTCATCATCTGATTACTACTTTACTCTGACTGTGTATACCAGGAAAAATACTTCTACATTGGTGAGATCCACCCATATACAGCTACATATAGTGCACTATATTTTGGACTACCAGGACTCTTTTATATATTGTTTTTTTTTTTTGTTTTTTTTCTTCTTTTCTTTTTTCTTTTTTTCTTTCCGTTTTTTTCACTGGATTTGGGATTTAAATTTTTCAATTTTTTTTTCTATATTTTTCAATTTTTTCAAATTTTCTCGATTATAAGGATCATTACCAAGTGTATATACATTAGATGATCTTTACCCCACACACGGGAGGATTCTGTATATATTGTATATATTTCTTGCATATAATTGATGTATTCAGGATGAAATGAACATCACTACCATTATACTTTACATAAATTTATCTAGAATAAACATTATGAATTTATTTCAGCAATAACAACAAGTGTTATATGTATTTATCACTAAATAGAGTGCGGTATTCATATTTATTTATTTATTCCTTCTTTACCCATATCCAATCCCCAAACCTAAACATCTTCACGTAAACCATCTACTCACTGCAGCGAATACACTCATTCCGACTCAATGGAAACACAGCACAGCCCCAACGATTAGGGAATGGTTTCAGAAAACAGAGCACATAAGAGTGATGGAAGAACTTCATTACTCGTTCACTAACAAATACACCCTATATGCATGAATATGGGAACCATGGCTGAAGTTCATGCAGAATAAACCCAGAAGTTAGAACTTAGAATGGGCCTAAGAGGCATAGGGTATGACCATATTTTCAATGCACAACTTTCAATTGAATCCCTTGAGTTACAGTTGGATCGAACAATCAAACCATACAATGGGGCTCCTACGCTCACCGCTTGATGCTATTTTATACTCATGGTAACTATTACGAGCCTCAACGTACGTGATATACAATACAAATAACCATGCATCCATAATAAAGATTCTTATCACTCGACAGTCACACTCTCACCAACATGGTGCTAAATCTAACACACAAGAAGACACCAGGCCACCTGAGGGGTTTAAACACTATATTCAAATCGGAGGCACCAATATGAGCACTCCATGTAATTCATCCATACATGGGTATATGACCTACTGTCCGCCTCTACAGGTACAATGCATGTAACTAAGTGTTAATGGTGACGATTGTACGAAAAATGTGCACCTTCCTAATGTCGACAATGGTACTGATGTTATTGGTTTATATGAATACTGTGAATAACTTCCTTTATGTGAACTGTCATGTAACCGTCTGGATGAACAATAATAATTTACAAAAAAATTAAAAAACAAATAAAACACACTTGGTCTTCATTGCATCATTAAAGCACACAGTACTTTATGCCATTACCCTCTTCAATGCAGAAAATTGTAAACGTTATTAAAGAAAGATCCTATGAAGACATGATATTAAAGGGACACTATAGTCACCAGAACAACAGCTTATTGCATTTATTCTGGTGAATAGAATCATTACCTTCAAGTATTTTGCTGTAAACACTGTCTTTTCAGATCCTGGGTCATGGTTGCCTGAAATGCATCCAAACATTCAGTGTCTCCACCCACTGCATGCATTCATTGATTCAATTCATCTTTATGAGGAGATGCTGATTGGCCAGAGCTGTGTTTGAATTGTGCTGGCTCTGCCCCCTTGTCAGTCTCAACCAATCCTATGGGGAAGCATTGTGATTGGATCAGGCTACCACTTCTGCTGATGTTAGCAGGCAGTGGGCAGGTCATAAGTAAACCGGGACAAAGCATGCAGCTCCAAACTTGAATACAAGTAAGATTTTACTAGATTTAGGGAGGCATGAGGGGTCCAAGGGGGCTAGATGGTGGTTTTAACCTTATAGGGTCAGGAATACATGTTTGTGTTCCTAACCCTATAGTGTTCCTTTTAAATAAAATTTAAAAAAAAGTGTTTTGACTGTTTAGATTTTTTGGCATCTCCTGATAATGCAGAAGTACAATTTGCCAGGATGGTCCAAAAGGCAGGGATGACAACTGTAGTGGTTAATGTACTTAAAGGGATCCTATATTGCCAGCAAAACAAACCAGTTTTCCTGGCACTATAGGCTCTTGGAGTGCCCCCCTCCCTCAGAGGTTAAAACCCCTTCAGCCAGGGGAGGGCTGGCAGCCTTAGGCTTGGGGGGCAAAACCAGTCAAGTGGCCCATTGCACCACCAAATCAATTCACCATCCATGCCCACCTTTTCCTGGTTTTATAACGGATATTGATGTTATGCTAATCAGTAGCTCTTTGCCATACCCGCTCCTTCACGGCTCCAGGCACTGCTTGTTGTGAGTGTGAGCCACTGTAAATTAGGGGCAGAGGGCACTTGCACTGCGGTAAAGATGGGGCTGGGCAGGAGGAGAGTGCAGTGCAATCAGTGCACTCCCCTCCTGTGGGTCACCAGTAGACTGGTGCACCTGCCCAGGATCAGAGCCGGTGCAAGGATTTTTGCCGCCCTAGACAAAATAAAAATTTGCTGCCCCCCCATGTGACATCACAATGCCCCACCCATATGATCTGCCATATGAACTAACGCCAGTGCTGCACACAGTGTGTGTTTACATTAAAAAGCCTGCAGGGACCAGCTATAGACACCAGAACCACTTCATTAAGCTATAGTGTCCCTTTAATGTGAGGTACATTATAGATTAGTGTCACTAATAATATACTAGATTGCCTACTTACAAGCAGATGAGGATGATGATGGGCTGCAGTTTGGCTCCACTGGTCTGGTGTAGAACAGAATCTCTGGAGGCTGTTTGCAACTGTGGTCACAAAATTCAATGTTCTGGGAGAATTGGAAGCAGCTCCATTTTTTGGGGCCCCTTACACAGCTCAAGGTCTGGGCCCCAGGGCCTGACGGTGAGTATGCCCATAAGGCCCACTCATAAGTTCCACCCACCCATGAGTTCGCTCACAGGGAGTGGAGTGTGTAGGGGATGTGTTATGTGTTATTGTAGAGGATCTAATATGTGTGCTTATGGTATGTAGTGTATAGGGTTACCAGTTTGTGCAGGTGATGCAGTGTGTTTGTGTGTAGTGGAAGCAGTGTGTATTTGTGTATAAGGGATGTATTATGTGTTTCTGGTTGTGTGTAAGGGATGCATTGTGTGAATCTGTGTTTGTATGCATAAGGGATGCAAGGTGTGTGTCTGTATGTGTGTGCATTGAGTGTAAGAGATGCATTGTGTTTCTGTGTGTATGTAAGAAAAGAAGTGTGTGTGTTTGCATATGTGTGTACGGGTTTGCATTGTCTGTTTCTGTGTATGTGTGCAAAGGATGCATTGTCTTTGTGTGTAAGGGTTGCATTGTGTGTGTGTGTGTGTAATGGATGCATTGTGTGTTTCTCTGTGTGTAAGGGAAGCATGTTGTGTTTCTGTGTATGTATAGGGATGCATTGTGTGTGTGTGCGCGCGCGTAGTGTGAAAGAGCTCCCTGTCTTGGCCCCTGTCCTATAGAGCTGCCCCTTCTGTCCCGTAGAGCTCTCCCCTGCACCTTAGTGGTCTCTCCTCTCCCCCACCCTCCCCTAGCGGTCTCTTCTCACACTCACCCACCCTCCCTGTGCTCTTCTCATCCCCCCCTCCACCCTCCCTGTGTTCTTCTCACTCCTCCCTCTATGTGTTCTCCTCACACCCCCTGTGTTCGTCTTACCCCCCTCCTCCCTGTGTTCTTCTTACTTCCCCCCTTGGTCGTCTTACTCCCCCACCTGTTCTTCTTACTCCCCCACCTGTTCTTCTTACCCCCCTTCTTCTTATTGCTCCCCCTTCTTCTTCTTAACCCTCCTACTTCTTCTTACTCCCCCTTCTTCTTACCTCTTTCTACCCCCATCTTCTTAATACTCCTCCTTTTTCTTTCTTTTCTACCCCCTTCTTTCTACCCCCTCTTTTTTCTTATCTCCCTCCTCTTCTTACTTCCCTCCCCTTTTTCTTATTCCCTCTCCTCTTCTAACTCCCCCATCTTTTTCTTCTTTTTACCTCTTCTTCTTCTTACTCCCCCATCTTTTTTTCTTACTACCCTTCTTCTTTCTTACCTCTTTTTCTTATCTCCCTCCTTCTTACCCCCTCCTCTTATCCCTCCCTCCCTCTTTTTTATTCCCTCCCTCCCCTCTTCTTATTCCCCCCTCCCTCTCTTCTTATTCCCCCCTCCCTCTCTTCTTACCCCCTCCCCTGTAGCGTGGCCGAGCTGCACTCCGGTCCGCGGTGGCCGGCCGGCCGGAGTGATAGGAAGGTGCACGCTCAGTGTGCACTTCCTGTCAGTCCGGCCGGTGACAGGAAACAGAAACTCCTGTTCCGCGCGGAGTTTCTGTTTCCTGTAACCGGCCGGACTGACAGGAAGTGCACACTCAGTGTGCACCTTCCTATCACTCCGGCCGGCCACCGCGGACCGGAGTGCAGCTCGGTCACGCTACAGGGGAGGGGAGAAGCTGCAGCCGCCTGAGGCTCTTAAAAGAGCGCTCGCTCAGGCGGCTGCAGTATTTAAAGGGCCGGCCCGCCGTGGCCGGTCCTACAAGAATTTAGGGCGGCCTGGGGGGCAATTGCCTCCCTGCCCCCCGGCCCAGCCCGCCCCTGCTTCAGCCACTTGCCTTAATCCAGCGCTGGGCTCCCTCGGCACTGGTGACCTCTCCTTGCCTGCCAGCTCCCAAGTGGACCCGAATGCACATGCGCGGCCATTGGTACACGCGCTTTCAAACCCGCCGATAGGAAAGCATCACTAAATTTGACGCTAAACTCTGTGAGGACACCATGACGAGTTCCCCGGGGCGAGGCAGTTCTTATATACCCAGCTGATTAATGATCTGTCTCAGGTGAAGCACAGGCAATGATCACAGAAGAATTTCAGCCCCCAGTGCTGCAGACATAGCCAGGTAGAACAGAGCTAGAAATACTCCAAGGAATAGGAACTGCTCTGGGTTAAAGGCAGTGAAGCAGGCCCAGGACAGCAAAGTACTCAGATTCAAATCCCCTGTTGGGCACTTCTGGGGCGACCACGTCTGGATGGATGACCTCCATTTGTCCATACATGTAACACGACAAAGCTAGTTTCAATGTTAATTTTTACAAAGCGCAATCAATATTGTTCACAATCTATACATGTCCCAAAATGCAAAAATAAACATGGAAAAGCAGATCATTGACAAGAGCACATTGTTGGTACAGTGAATAAATTTGGATAATATAAATATAGTTGTAACTCTCGTCAAGTGCATAAAGTAGTGGGCTAGCATGCGGAGTTCAAACCATGTGTCCATGTTATAGATAGATATGTGAATAATACAAGATATCCCCAAATAAAAAATAGTGTAACGTGTTTGATGATTCAGGATATTTTCATGCATTTCCCAAGATATTAATTATATAATTTCTCTTCCCTACTTGTATTTACTATAACAATAAACTGCAAATTGCCAGCTGGGATTAGCAAAAGCTTGCAGCTTGAGGATTAAAGTACTCATAGTGAAATGCGTTGGTCTGTAGAGCTTTTCTTTCCCCATGTGCTTAGTTATATCTATATTTTAAAAAATAAATTATTTAAAGTTAATGGGATAAAAGTTAGTGAGGGTTTTTTTGCTATGGAAAAAACATGGTGTTATTTCTTTAGAATTCAACTACATTATAAAGAATAAATGTTTTATTGTCAAAAAAATTAGTATTGTATCATTAGAAAATATAGTATTGCATCATCTATCTTATTGCCATGCCAAAATATATGTCCATAAACATATGGTACACCACATTGTTGCATATCCAGACAAGATAGAAAATACACATCATAAAGACAAATTACTTCACACACGCATTACATTTTATGATAGATACCAATATTAACCAGAATCCTATTTTTAAGCACCTTCATGTCCTGATTCACTAAAGTTTCGTACTGACATACTAATGAATGTTGTTCTAGTTGAAGATAAGCTCAGAGGCATGATCATATAAGATACATTTACTGCTTGCTCTAAGTGCACCTGGTGTTTATTTTCTAGATCATTATGGTACCATAGAGGCAGTGGGAGGTGGTCTGCCCCGGGTGCCACTACATAGAGGGTGCCATCCAGGGATGTGTCATGTGTAAGCTGTGCAGCCACACAGTGCCCCATGGCAGCTGGGGCGCCGGGCGGCAGACACAACTCACACGTGCAGAGACCATCAATTGTGTAAAAACTGGCCACACAGGAGGAGAGTGGGGGTGGAATCCTTACTTCCCCAACTTACATACTCAAGTGAAGGACTTCAAGGAACACAGAGAGAGAGTGTGTGTGTTTGTCTGCATGTGACTGTGTGTGTGTTT